TTAATGAACTCTCGAAACGTTTTGCATAACACGCACGATGTATTCGTAAAAAGTTTCTATAAACGTCGAAACATTTTCACGAGCGACTTTCTTACGCAGAATGGCGAAATTTCACTCAATTTGCAAAATTTATTATTCAACGATATGATGTTGGTTGAACTCAGTGACTAGAATTCTAGGCTGAACGTCTTTGTCCACGGGAACCGTTATTGCGTTTCGTAGCACACGAATTCGTGTCGGTGGATGACGACGACAAGCTTTCGACTTCGCTTGCATTTCTCCTTTTCTCGCGCGAATCGAATCGGTTTTGCAACAGATAGGTACGCGTGACCAAGGTGAGAGAGAAAGAGAGTCTCCCGTCGTGTCACTTTTTCCCATTAAATCGGTACAACGATTGATAAATATTTATTTTACCGCGTGCGCCTTAACGCGCTTTAGCCGGAGAAAAGGTGAATAGCGTAATAATTAAGGTTCTGTTTCAAGCTTGACGTCTCTCGCTAAATACCTAACTGTATCCTCCAGGCGTTCTTCGATGACTCAGATTTTAAGTCTCTTAGAAAAAGTCGATCTTTGGCAAACGCAATTCGCTAACAGCATTCCGAGGAAAATTGTGTTTTAAAGCGACAAGAAAATAATTTATAGTTTCATCGCGTACAAATTATACAGCAGTTGCAATTCATTAATTAACGTAATGCTATATATAATAATGTAATAATAGCTTAACTCTGTGTATATGATGAACGCTTATTAAAACGAATACTTTTATAATGATCCGTAATCACCTAAGAGGAGAAATTTCCTACTGACACGCGCTATCTCGTACGCGTGGGACGATCCTCATCCAAACGCAGTAAAAAGAAGAAAACTAGTACGAGTTGTCGGAACTACGGACATATTGTGTCATATCTAAACGCTTTCACGACACTGCAGGAACCACGCAGCTTCCATAAAACGTAAACGAATCGTGGGCGATTCGATGAAGAAAAAATTTACCACATCGCAAGGATTAAATTATTAAGCCGGTTCGTTATCCTTGATGGCGCCGCTTGTTCATAATTACGTCGTTCGATTAAGCCACTGAATCTATAGGCACGTTCGAGTGTCGAAATTAACATAAATATGGAGGGAAATCGTAAACGACGTGGGCTGGAGATTTTAGAATTTTCGAAATCAGCATTTCATCGTATCGTTGATAATTAGATTGTGGATTTTTATTCATTTCGCGCGTGATCTAAAGATGAAAAATTGCATGGAGTGCGCGTAATATACGAAGATAAGGAACTGATTATAGTTTCCTATAGATAAGATAAATTTCTCTAACGAAATCCTCTTTCTCTAGTTACGGTCGTAAAAATATAAATTTGCACAGAAATCCGTAGCTTAGTAATGATGACTATAGACAAAAATCAGAACCACTAAAAAATAATAGAGGCTAGGAAAAAATAAAAAAAAATAAATAACTATAATGAGAAAATATAACAGAAATGGCAAGAAATGGAGTTATTTAAGGACCATTAAGAGATAACTGAAAGGAGGTCATGAAAAAGGACATCGACGAATTCTTCGCATTGACCCGTTCTTTTTTTTTTTGCAAAAGGTGTCGCAATGCAAGCGCGTGGGAGTTTTGCGTTATTTGCACGGGAGATACAAACGTGTCGAGGCACGCGTGTCACTGTGGCTGGCGTGTATGCGTCGCCGACTAATTGATAGGTTTTGTCACCGTTTCCTTCTGTCTGCCTACCGGATGATATCATTGACATGGTAACACATTTCACGCCGATACCCTTACTGAGCGCCGCGACAAAATGGCATGACTTTATTTGCATAAAGTGAACGCGCGTGAGAGTGCAACACGTAGAATTTCCCTTTGTTTTGTCTCGTTCTCCACAAGAGAAATTACGAAGCTATTTAGAAAAGCGGCTCGTAAAATGAAATGTGGTTCGGCAACGCTAAATTGGATAAATTGCTCTGAAAATTGTAGTTTCAATATTTTATTATTAGCTATGTTTGTATTGATAATTATAATGCCTTCTAAGCAATTATTTTCCCACTTTTATATGTACGAAGTAATGGAATATTTTATAATAACTCAGTTATTCGACTAGAAACGCTATAGGTTCCTTTTATAAAAAATTCCTCAATTATTCTCTATCAAAAATCCCAAATTAGAAAGTATCGAAACTTTCGCGATGTAGCTGAATATCAGTCTCCCAAAATCCATGCTATTTGATTCCAAAAAGATCTCCTCGTTCTACTAATTGAATTTCAACGATGTAACATTATCTCATTCGTTAGCGTTACCCAATTAAATTATACGATAAATGCTGAATTTCAAGCAGCGTATGGTATCATTTTGTTACATCACACTTTTTTCAAATCGCTTCCGTGAATGTTCCGCGCGGAATTGCGGAAATGGCGCGATATCGACACATCTGAAATTCGTAGCGAGGAGGGTGGTTAATTTCCACGATGAGAATTTAAAGTCAACCGACAGGTAATCCACTAGGTCTGCCAGCTGTCTAGTCGTTTGACGTTGTGGAGTTAGGGGTACAGGAAGGCATCGGTACAAGCAGAAGGGACAGGCCACAGGTGTATCGTACTCGCACGTTCTTCTTTGTTACGTTCTTCCGAGTCTTCCTTTTCTGGATCTCGTGCTCCCATTCTCATCACGATACTCGTTAACAAGCTCTTAATAAATATCAACGTTCATTGAGACTCTATTTGCGAAATTGAGAAATTGATGAAAGATACGATTGTTCAATTTCGACTCTAAAAGACTCAACTTTTATGCAGTCTACCCAATCTCGCTGTACTATCCACGTGATTAAACGCTCGTTACTCACGAATGAAGTTAATATATACAGACGAAGAGTACATTTGTATTGCAACATGAATTGTTTTGAGATACGACCAACAAAGGCCGTAAGAATTCTAAGGTACGCACGAATTCAAACATACGGCAAGGCTAAAAATAGGCATGATTCTCGGATTCTTCAGGCTTTTTCATGCTACGTCCCTAGTCCATTCGCAGCGAATCTTTATCAAGATCAGGACTAAATCGTCGAAGAAAAACTCGTAGGACGAGAAATCAAAAGCGCATCTTGCTATTTCTATTCCATCCTTCTTCGCCCTTCGTTCCGCCTCCTTTTCGCCGGTTTCTTCGATCTCGCTCTCTCTTTCCCTTTCTCCCTCGAACGTTTTCCCTGACGATCTTCCTCTTTTTTCCTAGCGTCCTTACCGCCGGTTCCCTCCTACTGTTCGTTTTTCCTAGCCATCTTTCTACGTTCCTCCTGCTCCTTCCCCTAATTGTCCTTCTCTTTTTCCTCGTGTCGACGTTCCACCGTGCTGCTCTCGCGCGTCCTCGATCGTTCCTCTCTTCGCGGCGAATCCTCCTCCCTGCACGTACAGTCGTTAACATTTCGCCGCGCGGTTAATCGCCAGCCCTGACTTATTGTGCGACGTGCCAGGTTCTGAGCTCGCGTACGATGCGTCCGTTCTGGGCTCGCCGCGTTCACCATAAGCCGCATAGCACGTAAAGGACGCCTTCCGCGAATCGCGTGCACCGGCGTCCCCTGAAAACTCCGCTTCCGGTGCCGTTGCATCGCCATGAAATCTTTATAGGTGCTTCGAGAACGACGAACGTCTTGGAATTTCTCAAATGTTTCTCGAATACTCGAGAACACAGATGTTGACAAATACTATACGTAACTCTAATAGTAGTACTTGAACGTTTATAGAAACTTTTTACGGATATTATTACGCGCGTCAGTCGAAACGTTTTGAAGTTTCGTTAGAATTGTTATACGTTAGAATTATTATACGATATAATACGATTATATCGATGCAATTTGCAACACCGAGAATGTACATAGAATATACAAGATATTCTTGTAAATATTTCAAACATCATCAATATAATGGCGATAGTCGTGTCTCGTTACGGTACTCATGCAAGAAGTTTCCTATAACGTACGTAACATATTTCTAAAAATGTTCTATAAGCGTTCGAGTACCTCTGCCTTTTATTGGAAGCATGTTTTTGTCGTTTTCAATGCTACCGATGGGGTTTTTAATGCTTGAATTTCGTTCGTCACGGATTTAAGGATGCTGCATTGAAGCTTGAAAGCGAGTTAAAGTTCCTTGCATGCCTATAATTAGGTACGGAGCAAAACCTGACGATCTTTAGTCACGAAGAAAACCAATTAACCTACAATCATCTGCTCTATCTGCGCATTGTGTTCCCAACGTGTGTACCGGCCAAGTTTCTTTCATTTAAAAATCTTCTCACACTACCTTTCTTTTTACCATAATTTATGTTGAATTTTAAAAACTACGAGGGAATAAAATATTCTTTCACTAATTTCCTTTAACCTGATATCCTGCTGTTGCATAACAGGTTGCTGCTAACTATCCTTGCACCTAGCGGCCCAGAAACGGGCTTCTTAAATTTCAAAACACCACGTAACCAGGAAATTAGGTTTTCAGGGCCAGGGCTAACGTAAGTCGATATAGTTAGGTTCGGGTTTATTCGTGAGGGGGTCGCGAATGCCGATGTACTGCTGGAACAGGTGTTCTCGTGTCGGTTCCCTCGGTAAATAGCATCGACTAGTTTCTTCATGTTGCACGTCGAGCCTGCATTTTACGTTTGTTCATCGTCAGAAACTTAATATTTCTGTTCGTTGAGTTTTTGCTCCTTCGTTATGCATCAGCGATCTTAATAATAATGTTTCGTTGTTGCGCGAAGGATTGTTTTTCGAGTGAAACTGACGTTGGAACACGATGTCGTAAGATCAACAATTGAACGAGCGTAACCCAGGAAATCGTTAAAAAAGTACAAAAGGGTTGTGTCTGTTTGACCACGAGTCATCGTGAGAGCGAATCCTATTGCGGTTCATCTTACGAGAAATGATAGAATTCTGCGGGATATAATTTTTCATAAAAATTTTGTTATGTGGAAATTAATGTGTCGACAGATGTGAATTAATTGGTTTCCGTTTCAGCCAAGATGAAACATCTTTGGCCGTTGGTGGCGTGGATACTTCTATTCCTATGTCCAGTAAGTAGAAGCGATTTTATTTCGTTGAGAGTATTTCTAATTAAGAGCATTATTTTCCTTGGAATTTTAATTAATCTGTTATTTTCTTATCTTTAATGGTTACACGTGCGAGCGTTTAACACGTTCTACATTGTTTTTGCGCGATTGTGTGTATCAGCGGCGGCGCATGAAAGAAAGTGTGTAGATTAAGATTTTTGAAGCGTAAAATACGCATAAAATTCATAGATGCAACTAGAAAAGTGATTTCAAATGTTCGACCGTACGCGAGGTAATATTCTAAACAGCATCTGTAACATCTTCTAGGCCGAATCTCTCAGAGGACTCGGCCACGGACTAAGGAGAGAAGTGTTCTTCCTGAACCTCGAAGACGGCTACTTCGGCTGTCAGGTAAACGAGTCGACGGACATCCTACAGCTACTGGAACTCTCCAAACTGTGCGACAACAACGTCGATTGTTACCAAGGGACGGACGAGCAACGCGAGAGATTAAAATGCACAGGTAACGTGTTATACAGTATCTTTGCTACATCCAAGGAAAACAACGCGGAAAAATAGTTGTCCGACCAGATCTTAACAGGAAAAGAAAGGCTCTACCTGTTCCACGACGCGATCGCGCTACCGTTACAATCTTCGCTGTTCCTTTACGTCATTCTGTTGTTCTCGGCACCGATTACGCCAGCAAAGCGATCCTCGCGTGAAACCGCAAACATACTTACGCCTCGCGCGTAACGCAGCCTCGTCATAGCAATTACGAGGAGTCGCGAACTTGTCATCACGTTTCTACTCCATCGAGTCTGTCTTCCGCCGTCGATTAATCGGCGACATTCATTTTTATTATTGTTATTCCGCTGGTGTTTGCACGCGCGTTAAACGCAGGCGTTTTGCCTCGACGATCACGAACGGATGGATGATGAACGCGTTACGTAAGGAAAACGAATTACTCATAGTAATCGACATGATTTTTACCCGATGCTGTTTTCTCATAGGATGACTAAGGGATTGTATACCCACGATGAATCGGTAATTGATTTACACCTTTCTGTTTGAGATAGACGATTGTACCAAGGAGGACGGCACCAGGTGTCTGAATGGCGTCTGCTTGGACTCGGTGTGCCATTGCAACGACGGTTTTGGTGGTTGCAATTGCCAGGTGCCAGGTAAAAACTCTTGAAACTAATCTTTTACTCGTAAATAATCTAATCAAACTTCTCAGAACGCTCAAGTCGTTTGGTCAAATTTTAGAAACGTTATTCTGTATTAAAGTACGTCGGGAAATTAGAAATTAAATAATAGAATAGTTCTCGAAGAACAATTTATTAATTAGAAAATTTTGAAATTGCCGAAAGCTACTGAGTATTTGTAAAGTAAATAAATCGGTCGATTTGAATAAATGAGAAAAAGACCGAAGTATCTGCTTTCGATAATTTGCCATGTTACCACTAGACAGTTGAAATTTAAAGCGCACCTTTACTAAGTTTGTCAATACGTAGTGGTCATATTTTATGGAAATGTAAACACATGTTGCAGACGAGAACGAGTGCAAATACCGTCCCTGTGATATATTCGCGCATTGCACGAATACTCTTGGTAGTTTCCAATGTTCCTGTTTCCCTGGCTATCAAGGCGATGGTTTCCACTGCGAAGGTACGTACGCGTGTCTGATCATTCTCTCTCGCACTCTATCATTCTGCTCCATTGATTTCTTACGTTATACGAGATCGTTTTATTTTTGCTTGGACGCGTGTCTACAGATATCAACGAGTGTGATAACCCGGTACTTGCTGCGAGATGCGTGGAAAACGCCGAATGTTGCAATCTCCCGTCGCATTTCCTATGCAAATGCAAACCTGGCTACATCGGCGACGGCGAGGTGCATTGCGAGGATGTGAACGAGTGCGCGATATCTGGTGCGTGTGGTGATAATACGGTCTGCAACAATATTCCGGGGAACTACACTTGTGCCTGTCAACCTGGGTTCACGGGAGACCCCTACGAAACTGTAAGTATTTATATATGTATACACAGGGTGTCCCAATTCTTTCCGCCTATACGTTGTCAGTATATTCTATGGGATAAAAAAAAAAAAAAAAGAAAGAGAAGAATCAGAAAGAAATGTCATACGAGCGTATGTCATTGGAAACATCGTTAAAGAGATACAATAGGAAAAAGAAACGATAAAGAAAATGAACAGCAACGAACATTTACTATGAAACAAGGTATGGATAGATCAGGAATATCTACGTCCAGTAGTAGTCAGAAGGTATCGTAATACTTCGATGACTATTGGTATATAGAAAGTATGTAGGAATACGAATTAATAATAAAAAATATAGACAAGCCTGTAGGTAAAACGATATTGTACAAACCTCACTGTGTAAGGTGTATACTTTCTTTTGACTCTCACACTGTACATGTATACGGAAAGCTTTTTGGAGGAAATAAAGATAAAATCATTGGGTGTTTGCATATGGTACAAGAGAATATTAATTTTGTGTAGTGTATCGATATCAACGAATGCGATTACGCGGGTGCTTGCGGAAGGGGTGCCTTGTGCGTCAATCTTCCGGGCGCCCACAAATGCGAATGTCCCGAGGGATATAACGGCGATCCTGAAGAAGAATGCGTGGACGTCGATGAATGTCTGCGCAGTCCTTGCGGTCGTTCAGCTGAGTGCACAAACGTACATGGCAGTTTCCGCTGCTCTTGCCCGGAAGGAATGAGTGGCGATCCTTGGGTAGGCTGTCACGGTGGGTAACTCGATTTCTAATTATCCGAAACATTTTCTTACTAACTTACGAGCCCAACTGAATTTCTATCGAATACTTCAATATTATTACGTATATATTAGTTTGTAGATTACATAGATTAGCTTATAAATCCTGATAATGGTAAGATAATGGTCGGAAAACAACGAAGAAGATCGATGCATTAAATATATTAATTAAATATATTAATTTAAATAACAATCTGAACTTCTTAATTATTCGAGATCCGAGAAAGACAAAGATAAATTGCAAAATATTATATACTCGCCTATTCGTTGATCCGCGGAGACGTACGAGCCTCGTTAATAGCGTTATTTTCGATAATATTAACAAAAGAAGATTCTTAACATAGATTTATTAGATAACACGATTAATAAACCATAAACAGATTAATTGAAACACGTAGTAAATAAATATTGACTAACCATCGCTGATAGATATAAACGAATGCGAGGAGGGTACACCGTGCGGCTCGGATGCTGAGTGCGTGAACACAGAGGGTAGTTTCGAGTGCAGATGTCAGACAGGCTATCAAATGGATGAAACGCATGGTTGCATCGATGTGAACGAGTGCAGCCGGTTGGATGCATGCGCGGAGAACGCAAGATGCATCAACGTACCAGGATCGTATAAGTGCATCTGCCCCCAAGGCTTCATCGGTCAAGGACTAACATTATGCGAAAGTCAGTCATCACCTAACTCATCTTATTACAATATTAAAAAAGAGGAAAAGTAACATTTTAGTCTCATTCTGTCACTGGCAATCCCCAGATATAATTTTTAATCGCCCAATCCCACAGTAACAAAATGATAAAATTAATGCTCAGCGCCTGATTAACCGTGTTGATTAACAGACGTGAACGAATGCGAGAGAAATCCTTGCGGCGAAAACGCTGAATGCAGCGACACGATCGGCAGTTTCGTATGCAGTTGCAAGGCGGACTACACTGGGGATCCGTTTAAGGGATGCAGCGGTTAGCAACTGAGATTATAGTTTTTCCATGAATTAATTACACTAATTGCTTGTTAAATTTGAGATTTTAAAACGGTACAAGGCAACAAGATATTATTATATTTTCTTCAGCGTTAATTCTTCTCTTCTATCCGTTGAACTTCGATATTGTTTCTCTGTTTCTCAGATATCGACGAATGCACAGCATTAGAGAACCCTTGTGGAAGGTATGCGATTTGCAAGAACACGGATCCTGGTTACAATTGCGTCTGTCCACCGGGATATAGTGCCAATCCCAATCCGACAGTCGCTTGTGAACAGGTAATTACGTTAATTTTTTGTCACTTTACTATGTCTTTTTTAGCAAATTTTTCTGAGATTGGAAAATGTTCATTATTTTTAACCATTTTTTTTTTTACTAAAATTTCATGGCATCACGTAATCTTTATTATACTTAACTACTTTACCATTTTTGTTTCTCTCTCTATTCATCAACTGTGAAATTACCAAATGTTCAGACCGACGTGACAACACTTTGCAAATCAAACTTCGACTGCGTGAACAACGCCGAGTGTATCGAAGATCAGTGCTTCTGCAAGGACGGGTTCAAAGCCATTGGAGCCGAATGTGTGGACGTTGACGAATGTCTTTCGAACCCTTGTGGACCTGCTTCGATTTGCAGCAACACTAGGGGCAGTTATCACTGCGAATGCGAGTCTGGCTTCGTTGGAACTCCGCCACACATACCTTGTAAAGGTAAATAAGTTTCGAATAATCGTGATGAAAGAATAATGTTAATTACAGACAGACGTCTATAAATATGATTTTACGTTTCATAGCACCGTGTGACGAAGTAACTTGTGGAGATCATGCGTACTGCAAGGCAGATGGCCACGAAGCTTATTGTATCTGCGAGGATGGCTGGACTTTTAATCCGAATGACATTGCAGCTGGATGCGTTGGTAAGTGTTTTGAAATGTTGTTAAAAATGATTAATATTTCAGCATTTTGATGGATAATCAATAATATTTGAATTCTCTTTAAATTAGATATAAACGAATGTGACGCGATAAATGGTCCTTCGGGACGTTGCGGTAAAAATGCCATTTGTACCAATACTCTGGGTGGATTTAGTTGCCAGTGCAAACCTGGATTTTCTGGAAACGCCTTCAAACAATGCATGGGTATACTATAAAATTCGATAATTTCGAAAATTCGAGAACAGACAATAAAAATTTACTATGTTATTATCCTATATTATTAAGATGTCTGTATTAGCACTGATGTTTTATTATCGATTTAAAATAGACGTAGACGAATGTGGCAGACCAGATGCTTGTGGCCACGGGGCTACATGCACCAACACCGAGGGATCTTATTCCTGCACCTGTCCAGAAGGGACCATTCCAGATCCCGATCCTTACATCAAGTGTGTGGGCATAGTTACCTGCGAAGTCGATGGTGATTGCCCCGGAAACGCCATTTGTGATCCACAGAAACGTTGTCTGTGCCCAGAACCCAATGTTGGAAACGACTGTAGACGTGAGTGAATTTTCTAGTCGAAACATCGAATCGTTATAGAATTTTTCTCTCAATTTAAGTTTAAAACTAATATTCTAGTTATAAAACCAGTCCTGACATCAGGAAACTGTATAGAATATTTTACGCTATTTTATTTTACAGAATCTTTTTCTACAGTTTTCACAAAGAATTCTAATATTTTTTGAATAACTTTTTTCATAAAATCAGACCCGTGCGAAGACTTATCTTGCGGACCAAACGCCCACTGTATGCTGTCAAACGACGTGGCCACGTGTTTGTGTCGCAGTGGTTACACAGGAAAGCCAGGAGTGAAGGGCGGTTGCAGAGACATTGACGAATGCGCCATTAATCCGTGTCCTCAAGGAGCGATCTGTAATAACGAGCCAGGATCATTTTCCTGTCAATGTCCCAGTGGCACCACAGGTGATCCTTACAGTGGTGGTTGTCAAGAATCGAAGGCTCCTCATGTATGCGGACCAAGTACTCCGTGTCCTGCTGGAGAACAGTGCATCAAGGATGAATTCGTGGGGAGCAGCGTTTGTATTTGTCAGAGAGGATATACTAGGGATCATGAATCTGGTAAATGTAGAGACATTAACGAATGTATGGAACTCAGAGATAAACCTGCCTGCGGTGTTAACGCCATTTGTAAGAATTTACCTGGGAGCTACGAGTGCCAGTGTCCGCCTGGATTTAATGGAAATCCGTTCTCCCTTTGCGAAGGTAACATACTTTTGTTTTTAACATTTGCAAAATTTATTAACACTAGAAAGATCGGTTTACAATGTGTACTTAAATACACTGCGGATCGCATATGTATTTCAAATCGTCACGATTCGGAATGATTCAATCCTGTGTTAGAAGAATATGAAATCCGGCGTAACCATTTGACAATAATTACAGAATGCAACAGTATCGAGTGTCAATGCCAGCCTCCGTATAAGATCGTCAATGGGAAATGTATGTTGGCCGGATGTTCCAAGGGAGAAAAATGTCCCAGTGGTGCAGAATGTATCACCATTGCTGGAGGAGTCAGCTACTGCGCTTGTCCCAAGGGTTACACTACCAAGGCTGATGGTTCTTGCGAAGGTTTATATCAAAATCTTCATTCTTCTTCGACCAATCAACTTCATTTACATTATCAACATAACCGAAACGAACGATGCAATAACATTCACTTGCAGATATAAACGAGTGTATCGTTGGACACCAAGTATGTGGCTACGGAGCAGAGTGTGTAAACCTGCCAGGATCTCATCAGTGCGTTTGTCCACACGGCTATGGCGGAGACCCATACAACGGTCTGTGTTCTCCGGCTCAGAAAAGATGTACAAGCGACAACGAGTGTAAAGCCAACGAGAAATGCGTGCAGCCTGGTGAATGTGTTTGTCCACCGCCATTTTACACGGATCCTCTCGATGGAAACCTTTGCAAGAGTAAGCGTCTCCATATGAAACACTATGCTCAATATCTGATTCGAGAAATTCGCGAGAATCATTTTAAATTATTGTTCACACATTTTTCATACATTTCTTAAATACACATACATGTTCTCTTTTTAATTTCCAGATCCTTGTGACCGGTTTCCATGCGGTATAAACGCAAAATGTACACCAAGCGATCCACCGAGGTGTATGTGCGAGGCTGGTTACGAAGGTGATCCTCAACACGGTTGTGTGGACGTGAACGAGTGTGCTAATAATCCCTGTGGTCACGGTGCCTACTGTATTAACACCAAGGGCGATCACATTTGCGAGTGTCCAAAGGGAACAGTGGGCGATCCTTACGGCGGTGGTTGTACTAGAGTCGCTGTGGCTAAGAACGAATGTTCTTCTAACGACGATTGCGACAATATCTTCGCTTGTGTCAATGGAAGATGCGTGAACCCTTGTGACAATATACCTTGTGGACCAAACGCATACTGCGAGCCTGATAAACATGCTGCCTGGTGTCGATGTGTAATTGGATTTGTGGAAGGCAAGAACAACGAGTGTGTTTCACGTGAGTATTATATCTTTATGTAATCTTTTAGCGCGTTATGTTCTTTAAGTGATTTCTCATACAGTCGTGTTTCTTACTATCCGTAATTTGTTTCAAAGCACGATCTTTTTGATTCATCGGAACGAGATGGTTCAGTGAACCTCCGATTACTACGCTAAATATTTTGAAGTTTTCATTAGTAGTTAGTATATATAATTAGTACTTTCTTCGGTTCATTCAGAGAGAATTGAGACTGAGGAAGGTCCGAACGTTAACGTTAAACAATCGCGATATTTTACATGATTGTTTTAATATACCAAAAAAAGAATTGTAATAACTGGTTTTACAGAGTGCGATGGTTTCGTGTGTGGCTCTGGAGCACAGTGTATCGTGAGTTATAGTGGACCAACGTGCAAATGTATCGAAGGTTTCATGGGGAATCCGTTCCCTGGTGGTCAGTGTCAACCGGACGTTTGTTCTCCAGAAGTTCCCTGCGCAGAACCAAGCGTGTGCATAAGTGGACGGTGTAAACGTCGATGCGAAGGCATAGTCTGCGGGGTTGGTGCATCTTGTGACCCAGCGACGAATAAATGCGTGTGCAATCCTTATTTCATTGGAAATCCGGATCTCCTCTGTATGCCACGTAAGTGTTACACGAAATGACGATCAAAGATTGATCGAGCCTCTCGTCAGACAGCATATCGATCAATTCCATTTTTCCTAAGTTTCTCAATTTAATATATTTTTCGTAATTTGATAGCGATTAATCCAGCTGTCTGTGATCCTGCTTGTGGCTCTAACGCACACTGTGAATATACGTTGCAAGAATCTAAGTGCGTGTGCAATCCTGGTACCAGTGGAAATCCGTATCATGGTTGTGGTGTGCAACAAAAATCTGATTGCTCCACTGCTTTGTGTGGCAAGGATGCACATTGTAATGCTGGACCGAATGCTGTTGAATGTTTGTGTCCGCCTGGATACGCTGGAAATCCGTATATTCAGTGTCATGGTACGTATTATTGAAGCAAAGTCACACTGCCCTTCCTTAAATTTTGGCAGAAAGTTCAAGAATTTTATAGTAACTAAAAAAGATATCAATCCATTTTTAAATCGTTTATACCCATTTGTAAAAGTCTTTAAAGAAAATTCGAGGATAATACAATAATGGAGGGAAATTTTATTAATTTCTTCAGATATCAACGAGTGTAATGGAAACGCTTGTGGGAACAACGCAGTATGCATCAACACTATCGGCAGCTACGACTGTCGCTGTAAAGAAAGTTACTTCGGCAATCCCTTCATCGGTTGCCAACAGGTCCAGGTCGGTCCTTGCACCGATCCATCAAGCTGCACCTGCAGTGACTCGGTACCTTGTCCATTCGACTACAGCTGCGTGTCTGGCAAATGCATAAATCGCTGCAGCGATGTAAAATGCGGACCCAGATCAGTCTGCCAGGATGGAGCTTGCGTGTGTCCACCTGGTTATAGTGGCGATCCCAACGACTTGATCAAAGGTTGTTATCTTCACGGTCACTGCTCTAACGATCTCGATTGTGAACCTCAACAGATCTGCTTCCAAGTTGGGAAAGGTGTTAGGAAATGCGTAGACGCGTGCAGCAAGTTACAGTGTGGTCCAAACGCATTATGTATCACCCAGAATCACGTGTCTTCGTGTCTCTGCGTCGATGGATACAAGGGAAATCCTAGCAATCTCGTAGAAGGCTGTAAACCATTTAAATCAGTGGTAACACCAAGATGTGAACACGATTCAGATTGTTCTGAAGGTTCTTTCTGTATTCTTCTGGACGGTGGTGTCCGCGAGTGTGTAAATCCATGTAGCAAAGTAGTCTGTGGTGCTCATCAGAAGTGCGAGCCTGATATAATTCCTGGTCACGCTACTTGCAAGTGTCAAGATGGCTACGAATGGAATCCGATACTATCCTCCTGCGAAAAACCATCTGTCCCTGATTGTATCTCCGACGATGATTGTCACACTACAGAAGCTTGTAGGCCAGACGCTCTTGGTGTATTAAAGTGTGTCTCTGTTTGTAAAAGTTTCACCTGTGCTATTAACTCCCAGTGTATGGCGGAGAGACATCGAGGTCGCTGTGAGTGTTCGCCTGGTTTTATCGGCAATCCAAACGATCGTCAAGGATGTCAAACACCTAGGAAAGACCAGTGTTCCACTGACAGCGAGTGTCCAGAGGATCAAACCTGTAGAAGCACCAAAGAAGGTCTTCTGACCTGTCAACCAGTCTGCAATTTCGTTTCGTGCGGTCCAAATGCTTTGTGTGTGGTGCATAATCACGTAGCTAATTGTGAATGTCCACCTGGCCTCTACGCTGGTGATCCCAATGACGTTGTAAAAGGATGTCGAGCTGTTCCATGCGTGTATAACATCGACTGTCCACCCACTCAGCTTTGCAATAGATTGACGCACACTTGTTACGATGCTTGTGATGAAAATGCTTGCGGTGTGAACGCTGTTTGCATCGCGGATGATCATAGGGCAATTTGTCAGTGTCCTCCAGGGCTGAAGCCTAATCCTGTTCCTGACGTCGAGTGCGTTCCTCTTGAAGCTTGTCATCCGAATCCTTGCCATGAAACAGCTCTCTGTGTTCCTGGACCATCCAGCAATCCTGTTTGTCAGTGTCCACCAAATTTTGTCGGGGATCCTTACGTGAAAGGCTGTCAACCGGAAGGATATTGCGCCAGTGTCAAGGATTGTCCTGTGCATTCCATTTGTCACAATCATCGATGCGCCAATCCTTGTGAAAACGCCTGTGGATTGAATTCTATTTGCGATATTATCAATGGCCAACCCACTTGCAAGTGTATTCATAAGTTTATTCCATCTTCAAAGGGCCCGCAGGATGGTTGCGTCCGCGCCACGAATTATTGCAACGTCGACGCTGATTGCGTAGAGAGCATCTGCCTTGAAGGACAGTGTATAGGTAAGATTTGTCTTTCCGATCAATTAATGCCAGAATTATCGATTTGTAGCATCGCGTGTACTACTCTTCGGCAATATGAGCCAATGGAAATTAGAATTTAGACGAGCAAGGAAAAAATTGCTGGAAAAGATACGAAATTCGTAATTTTGACGAGTTTTCTAGTAGTTCTAATAATAAATACGAATTTACTGTGCGAAATGTGATTGATTTTATTAAGAAAGATGTTGGTTGTTGTAGCTGTTTGTCGAGCGATTACCGACTGCTCTGCTGGTGAAAAGTGCGTGGATAGTAAGTGTATGGTACCTTGTGTTACTCATACACAGTGCCAAACTGATCAGGCTTGCGTTAACGGAATGTGCATTCTGGGATGTCGAAGCAATAAGAACTGTCCTTCGACGGAATCCTGTATCGACAATAAGTGTCAAGGTATCGAGGCGTGAAAAATTAATTTAACTCTTTGATAGATTCCAACCATCCGACGTCAATAACGAACGATTTTCCAATATTTTGTTCAGATCCATGCAAGAGGAAAGACGTTTGCGGTCCAAACGCGATCTGCAGCTGCACAAATCACGCTACCACTTGCACCTGTCCCCTTGGATTCCACGGAAATCCCACACCCCAACAAGGTTGCGTCAGAGTGCCGAATATTTGCGAAGGCCCTCAAGATTGCCCCAGTCAGCATCTGTGTGTCTCTGGATTCTGTCAATGTCAATGCAGCGAACAGGACAACTGTGCCGAAGGAGAACGCTGCAAGAACGGAATATGCATGAAAGTGTGCTACGGCGATAGTAATTGTTTGCCAGGTGAATTGTGCATCGATGGAGTTTGCGAAGTAGGTTGCACCTCTGACGTTGGTTGCAACGATAACGAGGTGTGCATCAACAACAAATGCAAGTAAGTATCGAATATAATATGGCTACTTTGGGAAGATAGTGGCAATAGTGCAAAATTGGATCAATTTGTATAATATTTTTATGAACTCAAATCATAATCGTTTATACTTGTTCTAAAATACTTTCTATCATTCTTATTTATAATTATTCTTAATCATTTCGTAAAATTCCTGTCGACAATTGTAAATTTTTTTCTTTAGATGCAGCCACGGATTCATTGCTGGACCAGAACACTGTCTGGACATCAACGAGTGTGACGATCAACCGTGTCACTCGAGCGCAGAGTGCGTCAATCTTCATGGATCTTATCGCTGCGTCTGCCCGCAAGGCACAGCTGGTGATCCTGTGGGAACAGGTTGTGTAATTCCTCACCAGTGCACCGTACACGCAGATTGTGCCGATTCACAGGCTTGCGTCCAACATAATTGCACCGATCCTTGCTCTCTGGTTGACTGTGGTCTCAACACTATTTGCTCCGTTTTGGATCACACGGCTGCCTGTCAATGTCAGCCTGGTTACATTGGGGATTCTTCAGGGTGCTTCAAAGTGGAATGTCTTTCTAACAACGATTGCTCTATAGACAAATACTGCAATCAGGATACTAACAAATGCAGCAGTAAGTAGCGACATACGTGTAATTTTACAAATGGAGTATGTTAATTATCGATCTGTTTGGTAATCGGCGTTCTTTTCTCATAGATCAAACATAAAGTGATAGTTTCTCTCTCATACTTATCGACAATTCATTTATTCAGGTCCTTGTAATCAAGTGGACTGTGGATATGGCAACTGCATAGCATCCGATCATTCTGGAATATGCAAATGTTATCCTGGTTTTGAACTAGCGGGTGACATTTGCGTGGACATTGACGAATGTTTGAAGAATCCTTGTCACTCCTCCGCGGTGTAAGTTACCTCACTATATTAAATATTCTTTATTTCAGATTTCAATCGAGTTTGCGATAAAAATATTACAATATTTTTTATAGTTGTCAAAACACGGAAGGCTCTTACGCTTGCATCTGTCCTCATGGTTTGGTCGGAGATCCTTTCAAATCTGGTTGCAAACAACCGGGAGACTGCTTCACGGACCTTGATTGCCCAAATACTGCTGCTTGCATTGATAATAGATGCACCAATCCTTGCGACGTATCACCGGATAGTCATTCGTGCGGAAGAAATGCCGAATGTTTCGTTCATGATCACGTTCCACTTTGCAGATGTCCTGATCAGACCACTGGCAATCCGACAGTAAGTATAAGTTACGAACAGAAAGAATGATTTGATTTAGAGTTGACTTTTGTTGGTTCGTTTAAATTACTGGAACACGTAGTTGTTCTTTCATTGCTCAATCGTCGCATTTCGTTTGTTAATTGTGCTCGTTTGTTCCTATTTCTGAATTTTAGACGGAATGTATTCACTTAGAATGCAACTATCACAGCGACTGCAGTCCTTCCGACGCGTGTTACAATCACAAGTGCGTCGATCCTTGTTCTCTTGCAAACGTATGTGGACAAGGAGCAGATTGTTCTTCTTTAAATCACAGTGCAGTGTGCACGTGTCAACCTGGCGGCACTGGCGATCCTAATTTAGGTTGTACACCTGTTCAATATTGTAAATCGGACTCCCAATGTGCTACTGGTTCAGCTTGCAATGGAGGAATATGCACTGGTAAATGAAAGAACATATTCTAAGAAGATTTAATTTAACGTACTGAATTCTTGAAAATTCCCTAAATTTCATATTCTTACAGCCCTTTGTGGAAGCACGAGGGATTGTATCGGCGACCAACTTTGCATCAATGGTCTCTGTCAGCCCACCTGCAAGAGCAACTCCAGTTGCCCCGAGTACCAATACTGTCACAACAACATCTGCGTGCAAGAATTACGTTGCATATCCGACGATGACTGCTCTTACGACGAAAGATGCATCAAGAACAACATTGGACAAGCAGAATGTCAGAAAGCCTGCGATCTACTCCTCTGTGGACGCAACGCCGAGTGCAAAGCGGACAATCACGTTGGAGTTTGCTCTTGCAAGCCTGGATTCTTCGGAAATTCGAAAGACGACAAGATTGGATGCCAATCTATCGAATGTGAGGTCAACGACGACTGCAGCGGAGAGAAGATTTGTGACACGCACAAGTGCAGGATCGCTTGTTTAGCTCACAATCCTTGCGGCGTCAATGCTATTTGCACAGCAGAGAAACACGTTCAAGTAATTAATTAATCACTCGATCATGCGTCATGTTCGAAATTTTACAAGAGATAATTGTGTTGTACATGTTATTTATCGTTTCTCAGATTTGTACGTGTCAACCGGGTTACACTGGAGAGCCAACTCATGGATGTCAATTGATCGATTATTGTTCGGATCAACCTTGCGCACCTGGCGCTGTGTGTGAAAATTCCAGAGGGTCTTATAGATGTCACTGTCAACAGGGAATGGTTGGAGATCCTTATAATGGCGGTTGTCAGCCACCGGTAGAATGTCTGCAGGACGGAGACTGCCCACTGACTGCAAAATGTATAAACGTCAACAACGTACCCAAATGTTTCGGTAGGTTTATGAATCTTAAACATTGGAAAGGATATTTTTTGATAATTATCTCCTAATATCAAAGACAGAGACTAAAAATCAATTTGCGCAACGATTAGCCGGTAATTCTAACTTTTTATCCGATGTTGCAGATGTCTGTTCACGTACACAGTGTGGACCAAACGCAGACTGTGTGGCCACTTACCACGCAGGAGCCTGTCAGTGTCGGTCCGATTACGAGGGTGATCCGAACAATCTAAGTATAGGCTGTCGACCTAAACCGGTTGTTTGCACGTCAGCCGTGGACTGTTCGCCCAATACCTACTGTTACGAGGGAATCTGTCGACGTGAGTATCGTCTAACGAGCCAGAGCAGTTCGTTCGCTTCTTTATTTGCTATACGATGGGTTAAGAGCAACGTGATCTGAAATTCTTGTAGCGTCCTGCCAATCGGACGAAGAATGCAACCTGTCAGATGTGTGTCTCAATGGACAGTGCTTGGATCCTTGCAACGTGAAGGCCGCGTGCGGAATAAATGCGGAATGCAACGTGAAGAGTCACATTAAACAATGCAGCTGTCCACCTGGGTTCACCGGTAACTCGGAAGTAGAATGTGTCAGATGTAAGTGAGAAATTTTGTCCTGGAGATACTTTAAAACAAGGATCTTCGAAGGGAAAACGTTGTAAGTGATACAATCTTATAATATTCACCCTTTCCAGTACCCGTGTCCTGCAGAGACACCACCGACTGTAACGATGGCAACACTTGTCGCGACAACGTGTGTCTTCCAATCTGCACTAGCGACAACGAGTGCGCCTTCAACGAAAAATGCGTCCAAGGAAATTGCCTTCTCACTTGCAGGCTCGACAACGACTGTTTCTTGGGTCACATCTGTCTGCACAACATGTGTGCGTTTGGTTGTCGCGCGGACGAGGACTGCAACGCGAACGAAGCTTGCATCACGAACAAATGCATCAATCCTTGCGAAGCCACTCCTTGTGGGCCAAACGCTAAATGCACAGTATTTAATCAACGAGCCACCTGTTCGTGTCCAGCAGGCTTCATGCCGAATCCAACTGCAAAAGTGGCTTGTTTAAGATCGCCTGGACCTGTTTGTCAAGCGAACAGGGACTGTGCGACAGGAACAGCTTGTATTGGAGGACTGTGCACTCCTGTCTGTTCTACAGACTTAAATTGTTTGAGTAACGAACGTTGTGACCCTTCGGGAATCTGTAAATCGTTGTGCAGAAGGGACGAAGATTGTAGAAGCGGAGAGATTTGCGAGGGATTGGTTTGTGTCATTGGATGTCGCGCTGACGTGGAGTGCCAGGAGAATTTCGCTTGTTTGAACAACCAGTGTCAAGGTAAGAAGCTTCGATAGTGGAGTTTATCTTTTTCCATTTGTATCCATACTATGTATATAAATATTAAAATATCGAGGTCGTACGTAAAAGAAAGAGTTTTGAAGTTCACAATATTATATAAAATACTTGCAAAGATAAAGATATTTATAAAAAGGATGCTTTAGGAAGTATCTGTATTAGGTAATAAAACTACGAACATAGCCACAGAACTTACTATAATAATTAATTATTTTAACATGTAATAAATATAGAAAAATTCTACTAACTAAAACCATAGAAACATCGTTAACACGATTGAATTAGACTATAGACGTAGTTTCATCTGTATCTTATAGATCCTTGCTCTCTTCCTGATGTTTGCGGAGTGAACGCCAAGTGTGCGGTCGTAAATCATCAGAAACATTGTTCCTGTCCGGCACCATTAGTCGGTGATCCTCTAATTGGTTGTAAACAGGCGTTCCTGCCTTGTAGCAACGAAGAGGAATGCGCTACTGGTCAGACTTGTTACGGAAGATCTTGTTACGCCACATGCAAAAGGTAAGCCGATCAAGCATTTAAGCGACGTGATTGTTTCTTGTCTTTTTTTGCGAGTTGATTTACTATGTTATTTGAAATTATCTTGCAGCGACGCTAATTGTCTAAGCGACGAACGTTGCGACGGAGGAATTTGCAAAGCCATTTGCAACAGTGACGATCATTGCGTGGCTAATCAGATCTGTCAAAATAGGCTGTGTGACATCGGATGTCGCAGCGATAATACTTGTCCCAACGACGAGTCCTGCGTGAACAATAAGTGTAAAAGTAAGTAGAATGCAATTAAAACGTAAAGATACCTATGTAACACGTTTGATTAATCTTGGTTATGTCTTTTATTTTTGTATAGATCCTTGTGAGGGTGGCAAGGCTTGCGGGGAATGTGCCGGTTGTCGCGTTGTAAATCACGTGGCACAATGCAGTTGCCCAGCCAATTATTATGGAAACGCTTTGATCAGTTGCGCGAAATCTATGATTCCCTGCGATGGCACTTGTGAGTGCGATGAAATTGGTTTTTGCACGAAGAGCTGCTATAGTCAGGATCAATGTTCTTGCGGGGAAGTTTGTCACTCTGAAAAGTGTCGCATCAAGTGTGATGTTAACAATTATTGTCCAAAGGTACCGTCTTTAGAAAATTTCAGATCCTCTATTTTTAATTATAATATTCTCTTATTGAATTATTTACGAATTAATTCGATGCTCTTTGCCCATAATTTCATAAAATCTTGAACACGAATATAAATGAATCCCAAAGAAACAGATCATTGGCATTAAAATTCTATTACTAAATCAATTACCAATTAAGTCGACGTTTTTTCTTCATAATCTAGACTGTAAATATTGATTCACGTAAAACTTTAACACAGAAACGAATGAATTCTAAAAAAAAGTATTACTTTAATGGAAATTCTATCATTAAATTACCAATGTAGCTTTCGTAAACCTTAAACACAATTTTAGTAAATTGTGCACAAAAAAATGAATTAATTCTTATTAACTATAAATATATTGTTTGATTTACAGGGATACGTTTGCGACCAAGGACTATGCCTCATTGGTTGCCGCACTTATTCCGACTGTCCTTCCTCCTTATCTTGCGTCAGTGGTCAGTGCGAGGATCCATGCTCAGCTAATGGATCTCCCTGTGGAACCAACGCACTGTGTCGTGTTTCGAATCACAGAGCAGTGTGCTTATGCCCAGAAGGATACCAGGGAGAACCCAGTCAAGAATGTTACCAATTGGAATGTCATCATGACGACGACTGTGAGGCCAACAAACGATGCAGCGAGGATGGCGTTTGCACAAATCCTTGCTTGCAACATGGTGTTTGCGGCTTCAACGCACAGTGCAGAGTAGTTAACAGGAAGGCTCAGTGCTCTTGTCCACCCGGACACTACGGAAATCCTAAGATCAACTGTAAGAAAGGTAATGGAAATTGTTCTTCCACTTTTTTCTTTTTCCTTTTTCGTAGAATTGATTTTTCTAAATATAATATTTTGTACGATGCGTTTTAGGTGGAGACGAGTGCTTAAGGAGACCGTGCGGCGTGAATGCGAAGTGCAGAGAGACTCTGAATGGATTTGAATGTACTTGCGATCCTGGATGCCACGGAGATCCTCATCAAGCTTGCATCTGCGACGGAGGAGAGCTGTGCAAGGATATGCGTTGCGGAGTGAACGCTGCATGCAGGATTTATAAGAATCAACCACAGTGCTACTGTCCATCGAATTATCCCTCCGGAGATCCGACGCAGGCGTGTAAGTATTTGTATAATAGATCGATTGTAACGATTTTTCATTATTAGTTATAAATTGTCATTGTTCGATAGTTATGATTTCTTATTACAATTCAGAGAAGTTAGCATTTGCAATGATTATGAATGTCACTTATACTAGTCGTCAAGCTTAACTTCCAAAAGAATTCTTTTCTTTTCATTAAAATGGTTTCTAACACAATCTATTGCAATGAAAAACAAAAGAACATTTCATTATCGACCGATCTTTTCTCTTTATTTTCTTAACTTTCACGTGTGCCTAATTTTTTATTACGAGTACAGGTAGCGCAGACAAGAGTTTAGGGGACTGTCGCACGAACGGTTGCGGTAAAGGGGCTGAATGCATACGAGACGGTGCGATATTCGTATGCAGATGTCCACCGGGTACCAGTGGATCGCCGGATATCGAGTGCACCACAGGTAAGAGACGGCCTACTAACTGTTTAACCGGGCAGATCGATTAATTTTCCATGTACAGCATTTTGTGACTAGCGAGCAATACTGACGAAACAGAGGAACATGGTCCGTAGAATAACCATGTATTATCGTCTTTAGTAGGACTTGAAGTAATACCATTAGAATGTATTAATCCAGTGAATCGTTTAACAATCGAGAGACAGATGTGATTGGACCAGTTTTTTAGACGATTCTATTATAACGTACTTATTACTATACATATTGTACAATATACGATACAAAGATGTACGACACTGGATTTTACCCACAAAATGGTCGCGCGAGAAACATACATACCTGTACATATATATCTATACAGTTAGGCAATACTGTACATAATGTGCCGAGGAAAGGAGGAACACGTTTCACACATGTCTCACACATAACTATTCATATGTAGAATGTTTATTTCAGTATCCAATCTGTCTTGTGGAAACCGTGTTATATCCAGGAAAAAAATGCTTTAACGAAAATATGATATAAAAAAGAAACAAAAAAAAAAAAAGATAACGGGATGAAAAAAAAGTAGAGACAGAGAGAGACGGCAAATATCTAAATTGCAACCGACATAGAGAAAAAAAAGGTACACATTTCACAGAGAATGAAACACCAGATGATCCGATTAATTTTTTTAGACCTAGGACTAATGATACAGATTGGGAACTGCGAAAGGGACATTCTCATATACCCATGCTTGTTATTTTTTTGCTGGATTTATCCACTGTTTTACATTATTTTCCCTCTTATTTTCTTTTAAATTCTGTGGGGGCTTGTGTTGTAAATATCGCTGCTTGCCAATTTATACGTATATATATACATATAATCGATTCGTTTCTCTGGACAACGAGAGGTATCCTGTCTCGTATTACGTCCCGGATAAAACAGTGTAAAAGTTCGGTTCTCTATTTTACTTCTTCACAAAAGCTACCCTACTTATTTCCGTATTACGAATACAAAGCATGTGGTTTATGTTATTTGTGAGAAAGTTTCTTTTCACAGTTCTTATAAATGCTTTTTTCTTTTTTTTTCCTGTCCCACCACCACCACCACCATCACCATCACCTACCGATTCTCCACCGTGTGACTCTACACCACGACTACTACACTACGACTCTCTCAAAAAACCAAAAAATCCAAAAAAAAAAAAAAATCGAACAACAATAAAAAAATGAACCAATCGTGAAAATCGTGGGTTTGTCGGTGATCTAGAGCGCGAATGCACCAGCGACCTAGAGTGCCCCAATGAAAAAGCCTGCATAAACCTGCAATGCGTGGACCCGTGCGGTCTCCGCGGTGCCTGTGGGATCAACGCCCTGTGTCGTGTGGTTCTGCACAAGCCACGATGTTCCTGCCCTCAGTGTTATATCGGTATGCCTCACACGGCCTGTCATCCAGACCCCAAATGCGAAACGCTGAATCCCAGACCTACGCCGAACATCGGTTGCTCGTCCGATCGCGACTGTCCAGAGAGTCTATCCTGTCATTCTCGTACCGGAGAGTGTCGTGATCCGTGTCTAAGTTCACAATACACCTGCGAAGTAAATAAGAGATGCCAGGTGCGGAACCACAGGCCCATGTGCGTGTGCAAATACGGATTCGTCGTGAACGAGGTCGGGGAGCTGACCTGCGCCCCCGACACGTTGACATGCACGAGGGATTTCGACTGTCCGTCGAACGCCGCGTGCGTTAATGGAAAATGCCAGAATCCGTGTAACGTGAGAAAGAAAAAGCCGTGTCCGGCTGATAAAACCTGCGATGTCCTGGACCACCGTCCCGTCTGCATATGCACACAAAACTGCAATCCCTCCCTCTCCATTTGCCTGCGAGACAGTGGCTGCTCTCCAGACTTGGCGTGCCGCAACTATCGCTGCGTGGACCCATGCAGAAACTCCACCTGTCCGGCTGATGCCCCCTGTTACGTGGAGGAGCACAAGCCTATCTGCAAGTTCTGTCCCCCCGGCTTTGTGCCAGACACTAAATACGGATGCATGAAAGGTAAACACCATTTCTCACCACCTATCTCTCTCTCTACTCTATTCTCTCGCTCTCACGCTCTACAATTCTGTATTCTGTTCCTATATTTATTCTATATCTATAGAGCTCTGTCTTCGTTCCACTTTTTTGGATATATTATATATATATATATAAATAGCTGACACAAATTACTATATTCTTTCACCGAATATTATTCACAACGATATATATATATCTGGAATATCTGTCTGACTCTTACTCGCCTATACTACTGTTATACTATACGCCTCACACCGAACATACCAGTTGCTACTTTTCAGGTTTCTTACCGTTCAAACGGTGGAATGACTCGATAACGTGGTTGATTCGAATGTTTCAAAGAATACGGTTTGATCGATTTATATATTTTGTAAAATGAGAGTGTTCCAGCGTCTGAATGGAAAAATCAGATGTTTCAGGTTCCAATGCCACATATACAACTTATTCATCCCGATACCTATACTCTCCTCTACTCTGCCGACGTCCTCACTGTTCAACGATTATTATTTTCTCCGTTACATCTGTCTCTGTAAAGACCCTAATCGATTATATACTTCTGACCGATAGCTTGTCTATTTATTACGCGAGCATGCTTATATAACTTAATATTATTAATTCGTAGAGTGTGTTTTTTTTTATATTATTTGGAGTAAGCCAGTAAATCGGACGTGATCGTAGTGATTAGTCTAATCGAGAAAAGAGTGACGCTTGAGACATTTTCAGCTGCCTCTTTGAGCTACTTCGACCTATCTTGGCTCGTTCAGCGTGTTTATATTCTATTGTATCCGCAGCAGTACTTCACCACACGCCCGACCGTTTCTGCGAGTCCGATGACGACTGCAGCGACACAGAAGCCTGTGTCGATGGATCCTGCGTTGATCCTTGCGTCGGCCACTGTCGATCGACAGTTCGATGTCGGGTTAAAGCACACAGGCCTGTTTGTGGCTGCGACCAATACGATCACACTTGTACAAACACCACCACAACTATGCAAACTTTCGATTATTCGACACCAGAAATCTACGAGATGACTACACTTTCAACAACTACGCAATTTACAACGATTCCGTATTCGAGTGAAAGTACAGAATCTTCGAGTGGAAGTACAGAATCTTCAAGTGAAGTAGCCACTGAAACTTCTGAGGCCTCTATGACAACTATGCAAGCTTTCGATTATTCGACACCAGAAATCTACGAGATGACTACACTTTCAACAACTACGCAATCTAATTTTAATATCACAGCATATACTTCTACCGTTACGGAGGAAAGTACGATTCCATATTCGAGTGAAAGTACAGAATCTTCAAGTGAAGCTTCTGAGGCCTCTATGACAACTATACAAACTTTTAACTATTCGACACCAGAAACTTACGGGATGACTACATCCTCAACAACTACGCAATCTAATTTTAATAACACAGCATATACTGTTTCTATTGTTATGGAGGAAAGTACAACAACCTCGTATTTCAGTGAAAGTACAGAATCTTCGAGCGAAGTAATCACTGGAATTTCTGAGACATCTATTATTCAAGAAAGTACATCCGTCTCCATGGAAAGCAAACCAACTTTAAGTACAACAGTAGCGGATGATGTATTTAAAACTTCCACGACGCTGACAACAGATGTCGAAGGTGTAGAAAGTACTACTGCTTCAGACATCTCAGAAGTGTTTACTGTTAAAGATATTTCCGAAGAAAGTACCGAAATTATTCCAACAGTGAAAGATATTGAATTCAGTAGTGAGAAATTTTCTAAGAGTGAGACAACTACTATGTCTTATGTTACTGAAATGACCTTTACTACGAATTTAATGAAAGAAACGAATGTAAGTACAGAAGTAACTGAACCGACAAAAGTGCAGATAGTCACTCCTGTTACATATGTTTATCCTCCAGATGAGACGTTGCCATTGGGTCATGTTGTTACTGTTACTCCGATATGTGTAGGTGAGTATACTACAGAAGTGCCAGAGATTACTGAATCGACAAGTATGTCTAGCAGTTTTATTGAGAATGTTACAATGGGTGAAAGTTCCAGTACAATGGAATTGATTACTGAGAATTTAAATATAGCAACGACAGAAAATGTAACATTGATAACTGTGACAGCAGAATATCCTCTGAAAAATGAAACAACAATTGAGTCAACGACAGAGACGTCGCAAATAACAGGGGAATATTCGACAGAGCCATTTTACCATTACACAACTTTAGAATCTCCTACGAGTAAATTGGAAACAACTACTGAAAGATCAACCGAACGATCTTTTGTAACAGATTTTTTCACGAAAGAACCTTCAGTAACAATGTATTCTACGGAAGAATCTTTGGAAACCTCAACGATTGAACAGCCACGAACAATAATGCAATATATTACGAATCAACCTTCTACAACTAGTCAGTTTTCTATCGAACAACAATCAACGACAACACAATATTCAACAGAACAATCTTTTACAACTCTAAAGTATTCAACAGAATCACCATTGACAACTGATCAATATACCATTAAACAAGAATTAACAACAACGCAATATCCTGAAAAATCTTCTACAACTTCACAATATTCAACAGAACATCTTTCAACGACTGAACAATACACCACGGAACAATCTACAACTAATGAATATGTCATCGAACAACAACCATCGACAATACAGTATTCAACAGAACTCTCAACTGAACATACCACGGAACAACCTTCAACAGTTCAACAATATTCTACGGAACAGCCACAAACAACTATACAATATTCCACGGAACACTTACGAACAACAACACAATACTCAACGGAACAACCCCCAACAACTATTGGATATTTCATCGAACAACAACCAGCAACAACACGGTATTCAACAGAACTCTCAACTACTGAACATATCACGGAACAACCTTCAACAGTTCAACAATATTCTACGGAACAGCCACAAACAACTATACAATATTCCACGGAACACTTACGAACAACAACACAATACTCAACGGAACAACCACCAACAACTATTGAATATTCCATCGAACAACAACCAACAACTATACAGTATTCAACAGAGCTTTCAACCACTGAACATATCACGGAACAACCTTCAACAGTTCAACAATATTCTACGGAACAGCCACAAACAACTATACAATATTCCACGGAACACTTACGAACAACAACGCAATACTCAACGGATCAACCCCGAACAACTAATCGATATTCCACCGAACAACAACAAACAACTATACAGTATTCAACAGAGCTCTCAACTACTGAACATATCACGGAACAACCTTCAACAGTTCAACAATATTCTACGGAACAGCCACAAACAACTATACAATATTCCACGGAACATTTACGTACAACAACACAATATTCAACGGAACAACCCCCAACAACTATTGAATATTCCATTGAACAACAACCAACAACTATACAGTATTCAACAGAGCTTTCAACCACTGAACATATCACGGAACAACCTTCAACAGTTCAACAATATTCTACGGAACAGCCACAAACAACTATACAATATTCCACGGAACACTTACGAACAACAACGCAATACTCAACGGAACAACCTCGAACAACTAATCGGTATTCCACCGAACAACAACAAACAACTATACAGTATTCAACAGAGCTCTCAACTACTGAACATATCACGGAACAACCTTCAACAGTTCAACAATATTCTACGGAACAGCCACAAACAACTATACAATATTCCACGGAACACTTACGAACAACAACGCAATACTCAACGGAACAACCTCGAACAACTAATCGGTATTCCACCGAACAACAACAAACAACTATACAGTATTCAACAGAGCTTTCAACCACTGAACATATCACGGAACAACCTTCAACAGTTCAACAATATTCTACGAAACAACCTCCAACAAGTAATCGATATTTCACCGAACAACAACAAACAACTATACAGTATTCAACAGAGCTCTCAACCATTGAACATACCACGGAACAGCCTTCAACAATTCAACAATATTCCACGGAGCAGCCACAAACAACGATGCAATATTCCACAGAATACTTACGAACAACAACGCAATATTCCACGGAACAACCTTCAACAACTAATCCATATTTCACCGAACAACAACCAGCAACAACACGGTATTCAACAGAACTCTCAACTACTGAGGAACAACGTCCAACAATCCAACAGTATTCCACGGAACAGACACACACAACAATACAATATTCCACGGAACAACCTACAATAACTGTACCATACTCCACAGAGCTAGAACAATATTTCACAGAGTCATATCCCACATTAACAACTCCTATAAATACTCCAGGGCAGATACCTTGTGACCAAACCACCATCAATGATTCCGAATGTAATATCTGTTTGAACGATACGTGTCGGCCCGTGTGCTTCAACCTAACAGTGAACCAGAGTACACCTAATTGTAGCATACTCCCAGGTAAAAGATCTTTCTTGTCGGGAGTTATTATAAATGTGCTGTCCTCGTGTTCACCAATATATGTCAAACTATTCTCCAGTGTGACATCATCCGGTATCCAGATAAAAATTGGAGGCAACCAATTCTGGAGAGTTTTATTTCTTTTCTATAATTTTCTTGATCGACAGATCGTACACGAATTGACGATCGTGATACATCCTGATCGATCAATTGTCCGTGGGAACAATGGAAAAATGGCATATTTGATAAATATTATATGTATAAATATAAGCGTAGTTGCAGTTTACCTCTGTAATTCAGTGCAGACAAGGACCTGCTGCATTAGCGCTCTTTTGCATGTTGTATATTATTTTTGCGCCTGTGCACGTTTTCTTCTTGCTTATCTATATGTAGTGATTAATTGTACTTTTTTGTGAAGTTGCAAGAAAGTTGAAAGGAAACTTTTAAAAACGTTTTCTATTCGAAATAGTTTTTAGATAATTCCCTTTATGTGATGTGGAAATGTGAAATGGAATGTTTCCTTTAAATGTAGCAAAACTAACGATTGTTTCTGGGCTTTACACATATAACACGAAAACCACTATATGTTTTAGAAATTAGGGGATTGTGTATACTATTTTCTGTGTTTATTGTTTTATTAGTTTTTTGTTTAGTTATACGTGTATATTTTTTTTACATATATATTTTGAGAAATTTTTATTTAGAGAAGTCATTGAATAAGTTATGAAGAACAAATAGATTCTGATAATTCTTTTATATGGAAAGTTTAGTTTGAAATAGTATGAACTATCCTGGTCGAGTTATTTTGAGCTTCTAACGTACGTTCATTTTGTTAGATACCAAATGCAAAACGCACGACGACTGTCTCTCTCAATTGGCCTGCATAAACGATCAGTGTCTGAACCCGTGCACTCTTCATAATCCTTGCGACTTCGTGGAAGTCTGCCATGTTCAAGACCACAGACCCGTTTGCGTGAAAGGTAGAATATTAGAAAGAAAAATTAATTTGAGATAAAATTGGATGCAAAATTTGGTTGGAAGAAGATAAAGATCAATTGATACAACTTCGAAACTTACAACCAGGACATTTGATACTTAATACTTATTCTCAAAGTTTACAAATTAATTGTCTAAGAGATTTTGAAGCTTAATTTCAAAGAATTTGAAAATCGGTAACCGAATAATAATTGAATTTGACGTTCAAAAATCTCTACTAGTTATAAAATGTTATGGTCCGCCATTTGCATCCCATTTTTACCAGAAGAAACAGAAATTGATTCCACGAAATTGATCTTTTTTTCCAATTTTCTCAGATGTAATAAACGATAAGACAGACTGTCCCTATTGTCCAGCGGGTATGGAGTGCGATCCAGCGACGTATACTTGCGTGAAAGGTTTGTACAAGAACATCATGATCCATCATTTCGTTTCTTTTTACAGCGCTCATTCAACTTGTTCTGTAAATATGTACATATGTATTGTACATGTATATTTTGTACGTATCACGTGCAATTTTAATTATTCAACATTCGATTTTCACACTATATTTCCACGACTCTCAAGTCATTCACAAATCTTAAATTAGATCTGTTAGTATTTTCCCTTCGATACTTATCCTTTAACTTTCGAATCTTGAAAACGATACGATTGTTTTATATCAATCACGATCTTCGTGCATTCACATATACACACAGAGTATACTGTATTTTATACAAGCTGATTTACTCAATACGAGCCTACCACCCTTATTTTTATACTCGTGCACTCTTTCTCTGGGCTATACGGGCTTTTTTCTCAATCTTTCCTTAGCGGGTTGCACTAGCAACAAAGATTGCCCGCTGACAGAGGCGTGCATTGAGGGCACTTGTCAGGAACCTTGCCTCGTTTGGAATCCTTGCACCAAAAACGCGATCTGCGTTAACACCAATCACCAAGCGGATTGCAGCTGCGAGGACGGTTATCATGGAAATGGATTCTCCTACTGTGAACCAGGTAATTTCTTCGTTATTTAAATATAACAAATTTTTTCGATATTTAAATATAATTATCAAATTTTAGAAAGATTAATGTAATCTTCATATTTTTATTTCTATTACAATTTATTTTACGTTAAAATACGTTGTTTGCGAAAGACTGATGCATGTAGCATTCTACATATATATACTTTGCTTCATAAATATAAGATCTAGATATACCTAGATATAAGCATAAAACAGATATTATATGATATAAATGTTATAAACATTTGTGAATTCACAACGTTTCAGAAGAAGAAAGCAGAAACGTATGCCAATACAACGAAGATTGTCCATCGAGCAAATATTGTGATCGCCTTAACCGGAAGTGCATCGACCCATGCTTGGAGAACGATTGTGGTGTGAACGCGAATTGTTATCCAGAGAATCATCAAGCTCAATGCAAGTGTTTGCCTGGATTCCAAGGAAATCCTGAAATTGGATGCACGTTAACGACTACCAATCCGTGTGTTCCAAACCCTTGTGGTTTGGACGCCATGTGCGAGAACGATAATGGCAATCCTATATGCTTCTGTCCGAAAGGATTGACTGGAAATCCGTTTGAACAGTGTAGTAAGTTTCTCAAATGTATTTTCTTTAGTAAGTTTGAAGTATAGAATAGTTCTTGCACCGATTGAAATTTTTCATGAAACTTCAATTAGGAAGAAAAGTTAGTAAAAAAAATATGTAATGGAAATTAATTAAATCTTTTGTACTCAACCATCTTTATACCTAAATTATTGTAAATTAAAATTTCTGATGAAATTCCTAGAATTTCAAAATTAGAGCGTATATGAAGATAAAGAATATTTAACGGAAATTCGATTTTCTAACGAGCCTAAAAATATTTCTTCTCAGTACCAGAAGGTGACCAGTGCCAAGAAAATCCATGTGGCGTTAATTCTGGGTGTCGCGTGGTGTCAGGACAAGTGAGATGCTTCTGTTTGCCAGGATACGAGGGGAAACCACCTGCTTCTCCTTGCACGCTTCCTAGCAACCCTTGCGAACCATCTCCTTGTGGGCCTAACACTCAATGTACCGTATTGAACAACGGCCTTTCGAAATGTACTTGCCTACCAGGATACATCGAAAGTCCAAATACGATCAGGGGATGCGTGCCTAAGTCTGATCAGTGTAATCCTAATCCCTGTGGACTTGGCGCTAAGTGTGACTCGGATAGAGCACCTCCTTGTTATTGTCCGGAGCATACCGTTGGAAATCCTTATCAGAGTTGCGCAGGTAAGTGTTTGTCATATTTTTAACAATCTGTACAGTTCGTAAAATTTTTAACAGAGCGCGTTATGTACACGTACAAGATAAAAAATTAACTCAAACATGGCCTTTGTTTTTTGTTTTCAGTAACTCCAGCAGATACATACTCACCTTGCCTGCTAGTTCCTTGCGGAAAGAACGCGGTCTGTGTCGAGGAGGACGGCATTGGAAAATGCAAGTGTATTCCACCATTTATTGGGAACCCATACATGGACGGTTGCGAAGCGGAATGTATCGTGAACCAAGACTGCGACAATCATCTTGCGTGTTTCAATCAGCATTGTAGAGATCCTTGTCCAGGTGTTTGCGGTTCCAATGCAAAATGCGAAGTGGTTGATCATGTTCCAGTTTGTTCTTGCTTACCTGGCTACACCGGCGATCCGTTTGGCTCTTGCAAACTCGAGACGTCTCGTAAGTCTTTATAATTATTGGATCCGGACCATTGTAATTGTATTATAAAAAGTTTTATCTGCAATGTAGGATTCCAAAATGCATTTCTTGTATTAATACTTTGAGGTACTATAAATACAAAACAGTTTGAAAAGGCATTCCCTACTTGTTTAGTTGTCATTGCAGAATGTATTTAGAGAGTAAAATTGAATTTCAATCGGTTCTTCCAGCTCTTCCATCTCAGAATCCTTGCATGCCATCACCTTGCGGACCGCACAGTATCTGTCGCGTGATGAACGATCGTGCCGTTTGTTCGTGCAGTCCAGGATATCATGGAACGTCGCCTAATTGTCGTCCAGAATGTCTAGTTAGCTCAGAATGTCCCGCACACTTGGCTTGCATCGGTCAAAAATGTGGTGATCCTTGCCCTGGTCTCTGTGGACAGAATGCTTTATGCCAGGTCGTCAATCACAACCCCATTTGCAGTTGTCCTTCGGATTATCTCGGTGATCCTTTCACTCAATGCGTCAAAGAAGGTAATTTAATCGAATTTTTCAATTCCTTAAAAATATTTATAAACGATTCAAAGACAACGAAGTTTATGAAATATCTACCGAATGAAATATTTAAGTCTTTGTCTCTAGGTTCTACTTCTTTAGTTGTGTTCATAAAAATATGAACTGGCGTAATGTGTTAGAGGGCATTACAAATAATTAACAAACAATAACGATTTCAATAAAACTATTTACCTTTTCTTTGTCAGATATACCACTGCCAAGACCAAAGAATCCTTGTTTACCATCGCCCTGTGGCCCGAACGCCGAGTGTCGTGTGCAAGAGGATCATCCAGTTTGCACGTGTATCAGTGGAATGTTCGGAGCACCGCCACTTTGCAGACCAGAATGTTCGATTCATCAAGACTGTCCACATTATCTCGCCTGTGTTCAAAAGAAATGCGTGGATCCTTGTGCTGGTTCTTGCGGATTTAATACCAACTGCACCGTGCAGAACCATCGGCCGATGTGTCAATGTAACGAGGGTTACGAAGGGGATCCATTCTCTGGATGTAGCAAAGGTAGAAATTCTTGAATTCTATAAAGAATATCGCAATGTTTCATTTCAACGATATAACTTGACTTTGGATTGGACACGTAGTAGCAATACTTCCCCATTTTTTACTCGATCAAATTGAAGTTGACGAAGACACATATTATGAAGTAAACGATTATTTGTTTTTTCTACAGTTACTTTCCCAGTGCCACTGCCATGCGACCCATCGCCGTGTGGCGCTAATGCAATTTGCAAAGAACGAAACGGAGCTGGTTCGTGTAGCTGTTTACCCGACTACACCGGAGACCCATATCAAGGATGTAGACCAGAATGTGTTCAAAATTCAGACTGTGTTCATACGAAGGCTTGTATAAACAATAAATGCAAGGATCCATGCGTGGGTGCGTGTGGTATAAATGCTCAATGTCAAGTGATCAATCATCAACCCTCGTGCAACTGTCTCTCTGGCTACACGGGAGATCCATTAAAATCCTGCCATATATCGCCTGGTAAATTTACGAAATAACACGAATTAATACTTTGACAATGTCGTACGAACAAATTTCAGGCAAATAATGGACGAATATTTGAAAATTCAAAGATTTTGAGAAATCTAGAAATGCACGAAGTTTCAAGATTTGAATATGCTGATAAAGAAATAATCGTTATTTACGACATCTTATTACACTGTCAAAGGATTAAAAGATCAAATCATAATTCTTGCCATTTCATTATAAAACGTCATTTTATCTTTTTCTAGTAACACCACTGCCACGTGATCCATGCCAACCATCACCTTGTGGATCATATAGTAATTGTCGCGTGATCGACAATCATGCGGTTTGTTCCTGCCAACCAAATTATGTCGGTAGTCCTCCACAATGTAGACCAGAGTGTGTGGTTAGCACAGATTGCGCTCAGAACATGGCTTGTATCGATCAGAAGTGCAGAGATCCTTGTCCAGGCACTTGTGGTCAGAATGCTGATTGTCAAGTTATCAACCATAATCCCGTATGCAGTTGCACGTCTGGATACACCGGAGATCCGTTCTTTGGTTGTGTTAAAGAAGGTAAGATCTTTATTTGTTTACGTCCCGTGACTCTCTATATAAGCCAGATTTTATCCTTCGGGCAGGATGGCCACGAAATGTCCTAAATACCTTTATTTTGGGCCCTCAATAATCTTAAGAATCCATCACAAATTTTAGCATTTTTTATAGTTATGGCCCTTACGACCAGACAAGTATCTTTTAAGTTGAAGTATTCCTTAGATTTATTGTCCATACTGTCGATTATCGTATCGTAACGAGAATTTACGATTCTTGTTGGCGCCTCTACCGCGACCGCGTCTCTTCGCGAACAATTGAACAATTTTAATCGTTTATTTTATGTCAGAGTTGTATTTTTATTGAAACGCTTCAATTATTCGTTTTATGTTACACATATATTTTTCTACGGTCGTATTCTCAGTAATTGTGATTTTGCAAAGTTATTTTTAAATACTTTTTAAAGTGGAACCGAAACAACCTGGACCAAAACCAAGTGGAAATCCATGCATTCCATCGCCTTGCGGTCCGAATTCTCAGTGTCGCGTGATTGATGGATTCCCAGCATGTTCCTGTCTACCGAATTACGTAGGCAGAGCACCGAATTGTCGACCGGAGTGTGTTATTAACGAAGGATGTCCTGGAAATCTTGCATGTCAGAACGAACAGTGTGTAGATCCTTGCCCGGGATCCTGTGGCGTGAATACTTACTGCAATGTCGTGAAACACAATCCAGTTTGTATTTGCAATACCGGATACACTGGAAATCCATTCACCGAATGCGTACCTATCATGAAAGGTAAAGTACCGATAGTTTAAGAATTGTTTTGCTGAACGATTTTAATCTTCGAATTTTCAGATATTTAAATTTGTAAACCTTCGATTCTCAAGTTTCAAACTTTACAAATTTCCGAATTTTTAAACTTTCAAATATTTACATTCCTCGGTTCACCAGTTTCTAAATTTCCAAATTTTCATCTTAAAACCTTTCAAATTTTCAGTACCCACAACCACGGAACAACCGCGCACGCCATGCAATCCATCTCCGTGCGGAGCGAACGCGATCTGCAATGAACGTAACGGCGTAGGATCTTGCACTTGTCGTCCAGAATACATCGGCGATCCCTATACAGGATGTCGACCAGAATGTGTGACAAACACCGATTGCGATCGTAGCAAGGCTTGCCTGAACAATAAATGCGTGAATCCATGCCCTGGCACATGCGGCCAGGGAGCAACTTGTCGCGTGATCAATCACGCTCCATCGTGTTCCTGTCTTCCTGGTTTCACCGGGGATCCTTTCAGCGCCTGCGTAGTGCTCGAAGTGACGCCAACCTCACCGCCACTAAATCCCTGCGAACCATCGCCATGTGGACCCAACAGCAACTGTCGTGTTCACAATGGACACGCTGTGTGTCTTTGTCAACTAGGATTCGTCGGTGTTCCTCCAACCTGTCGTCCAGAATGCACAGTGAGCTCGGAATGTTCTCAAAACAAAGCGTGCATCGATAACAAATGCGCAGATCCTTGTCCAGGTTCCTGTGGGTTGAACACTAAATGTCTGACAGTGAATCACAATCCGATTTGTACTTGCACTAATGGATACACTGGCAATCCACTGGTTCAGTGCACCAAATTTAACGTATCACAACCACCGTTTAAGGATCTTGGAAGTCCGTGCACTCCTAATCCTTGCGGACCTAATTCTCAATGCAGAGTTATTGGCTCTCAACCAGCTTGTTCTTGTTTGTCGAACTTCATCGGTCGTCCACCGAATTGTAGACCGGAGTGCACTGATAATTCGGATTGCTTCCATTCGGCCGCGTGTATTAACCAGAGATGCAAGAGTCCTTGTCCCGGAGCCTGTGGAGAGCTGGCTAGGTGCTCCGTTCAGAATCACGTTCCAATTTGTACGTGTCCCGAGGGTTATGAGGGCGATGCCACTGTTCGGTGTACTCTGGCACCTCCTCCAGGTATGACCTCCTATTTCTAATACTTCGATTATGCTTCAAATTTTCAAGCTTCCAAATTCTCAAACTGTTCAATTTTCAAATCTTTATTCCATTATAACTAAACTTTATTTTATTTAGCAACGGACATAAGCGTAACAAACCCATGTTCTCCGAACCCATGCGGTCCAAACGCTCAATGTCGCGAAAGAAACGGTGCAGGAGCCTGTGCATGTCCACCAGATCTTATCGGAGATCCGTACGATAACGCGAAAGGATGTCACAGAGAGTGTGAATCGAACAACGATTGTGCTCCACAATTAACCTGCGTTGGTTTCAAGTGTTCTGATCCGTGCCCAAGCACTTGCGGTACATTATCCATCTGTAATGTTCAGGAACATGTTCCGGTGTGTACTTGCCCTCCAGAATACACGGGAGACCCGTACTTCGCTTGCGAAGTTAAGGAAATATCGAGTGAGTCTGTCATCTATTAAATTTCATACATTTCATATTCATTTCACATTTATGTCTGATTTCTATTGCACTTGGTTATAATTAGATCGAATAATGATTTTTATTGACTAATTGTTACTATATGTATAAAGTATCGGATAAATATTTTATTATTGTGAATTCATTTTTCAGGAGAACCATTGGATCCATGTTCACCATCACCGTGTGGACCCAATAGTAAGTGTCGCGAAGTGAATGGTCAAGCAGTCTGCACGTGTCTTCCGGAATACAGAGGAATCCCACCGAACTGTAGACCTCACTGCGTGGTCAATGCCGAATGTCCAGCTCACTTGGCTTGTTTGAATAAGAAATGCACGGATCCATGTCCAAACACCTGTGGATTAAGAGCATTGTGTACTACTAAGAATCATAATCCTATTTGTACTTGTCCTGTTGGATTTACAGGAGATCCTTTCTCACTATGCTCGCCTGGTAAGAATATCATCAATTTTTATATGGATACAATTTTAATACTGATACTTTATGAAGATAGAATTCATTAAATTATACTAATTATACTTAAATTGTCGAACTTCTAAGTCTTCAAATTTTTTATCTTATTTATCTATTAGCGCAAGAAGTTCAACCGTTCACGGAACGACCGCCGTCCTGCACTCCATCACCCTGCGGTCCGAATTCCCTGTGCCAGATCATATCCGGAAACCCAGCCTGCTCCTGTTTGCCAAATTACATCGGTGTTCCTCCAGAGTGCAGACCAGAGTGCATTCTAAGCTCCGAATGCAAGAGTCACCTTGCTTGTGTGAACCAGAAATGTCAGGATCCTTGTCCAGGATCTTGTGGCGTTAATGCTCAGTGTCACGTACTGAATCACATTCCTGTTTGCACCTGTATGAATGGTTTCACCGGTGATCCGTTTACACAGTGCACAGTGATTCCACCAAGTAAGAAGATATATTTCATTTTTATACTAATTAAATGATTGTTCAGTTTCTTACGAGATGCAAAAACGCATTTTATCCTTAGCAACTGTACCATCTGTGAGCGATCCATGCAGCCCATCGCCTTGTGGACCTAACGCCCTATGCAAAAATGGAGATTGCGAGTGTTTACCTGAATACATCGGCAATCCGTACGAAGCTTGTCGACCAGAATGTATTCTCAATTCGGAATGTGCACGCGATAAGACTTGTCTGAAGAATAAGTGCAGAGATCCTTGCCCTGGCACATGCGGACAGAATGCGGTGTGCGATGTTGTGAATCATATTCCTGTGTGTTCCTGTATACCTGGATATATTGGAGATCCGTTCGTCAGCTGTCGTGTCCAACCACAAGGTGAGTAGAATAAAAACTCTATTTATTTCGATTTATCGAGAGACAAACAGCTCGTACATCTGTAGTTATTTGATATTTTTAACTCTCTGTGACTTCTCAATCGCTTGAAACGACAAAACTCGAATCAAATTTTTAAATCTGACCTCCCGGACTTACGAATTTTTTAATTTTCAAATTACTAGATATTTCGATTTTCAAATTTTTCAAATTTCTAATCTCTGATAAATTTTTCGGAACTTAACCAAGATATGATATGTAACGATATCCAGTAAATCATAAAATGCATTTTTAGTTCCAGAAGCAATGAGAGATCCATGCTCGCCCTCACCATGTGGACCAAACAGCCAATGTCGTAACATCGAGGACCACGCAGTGTGTTCTTGTCTTCAGGGATATCTTGGATCACCACCTTCGTGCAGACCAGAATGCGTGGTTAGTACGGAATGTCCTCCGACTCGTGCTTGCGTGAACAAAAAATGCACGGATCCCTGTTTGGGTTCTTGCGGCTTGAACGCCAGATGCGAAGTGATCAATCATTCGCCGATCTGCAGTTGTCTTTCTGGACAGACTGGAGATCCTTTCAAGAGCTGCTACGATACTCCGAGTAAGGAATTTTCAATCAACTATTAGGTTGCATAATAAATTCGTTCGCCTCTCGCAATGTCGAAGTCACAGTCCCAAATTCTACATTAATTACGTTCATATAATTTATCTTTGCAGTCTTACCAGACGTCAAAGACACGGGAGATCCGTGCAATCCATCGCCATGCGGTCCAAATGCTCAATGCCACAACGTGAATGGCTATCCATCCTGTTCTTGTCTTCCAACCTATATCGGAACCCCGCCGTCTTGTCGTCCGGAGTGTCTCATAAATCCCGACTGCCCATCGGACAAAGCTTGCGTAAATTCCAAATGCACGGATCCTTGTGCAGGGTCCTGTGCCGAAAATGCCAGGTGTTTGGTAGTCAATCATGCTGTTACCTGCTCATGTCCAGCCGACTACACAGGAAATCCTTTCGTCCAATGTGTCGAACTGGATCGTAAGTTCATTTAATTTGCTTCTTACATCGTTTGGAAAGTTCATCATTTTCTTAAATAATCTAATCTCTTCCCAAGCAAATAAATTGTTCTCTACGTCTCTAACTTATCGTTAGTTTTATACGAGGAATTATCTCCTTTCCGGTTGTACCACGATTTCGCAAACCCCTTGTATTTCTCACGTCCATCGCAATCGTTAATTCATTATTTTATTGGGTATTTTAAATTTCTTCCATTTAATCATTTTCATACGAATACTCTTAATCGGTATATTTCGTATCTCAAATTGCAGAAGAACCAATCAATCCATGCGAGCCTTCGCCTTGTGGTCCAAACGCGATCTGCCAACAGCGTGACAACGTCGGTGCTTGTATTTGCATCGACGATTACCACGGAAATCCCTACGAAGGCTGTCAGCCAGAATGCATCCTCAGTTCAGACTGTCCAACGAACAAAGCCTGCGTTCGCAACAAATGTGAAGATCCGTGTCCAGGAATATGCGGTATCCAGGCTCAATGCTCCGTCATCAACCACATCCCTACTTGCACATGTCAGCCTGGCTACGTAGGAGATCCCTTCAGCATCTGTAATTTACCAATCAATGCAGACACTGAGCCTACTGTCACTGATCCATGTAATCCTACGCCTTGTGGACCCAATAGCTTGTGCAGAGCCGTGAAATATCAAGCTGTGTGTACTTGCCAGGAATCATTCGTTGGTTCTCCGCCTAACTGCAAGCCCGAGTGTGTCGTAAATTCTGAATGTCCTCAAAATAGGGCTTGTTACAAATACAAGTGTAATGATCCTTGTCCTGGAACGTGTGGAGTGGGAGCTAATTGTCGTGTAATTAATCATAATCCGCTGTGCAGCTGCCCTCAGGGTACTACGGGAGATCCTTTCTCTAGATGCTATCCTCAGACGAGTGAGTATTTAAAATAATAATTATACGACCGATTTTTAAAAACCTTGTTTGAATTAAATTAATAAATTGACATTATTTTAAAATTATATTTTTTCCAGTCACACCAACGCCACCAGTGGGTGATCCTTGCAGCCCAAGTCCGTGCGGCCTCTACGCAGAATGTAGAGCAATTGGCGATCAAGCTGCTTGTTCATGTCTCAAGAACTACATAGGACTGCCACCAAATTGTCGACCAGAGTGCGTCGTTAACACAGATTGTCCTTCTAATCAAGCCTGCATCTCGGAAAAATGCAGAGATCCTTGCATTGGATCGTGTGGACAAAATGCAGATTGTAGGGTGCAGAATCACATTCCTGTCTGCTTGTGCCAACCAGGATATACCGGCGATCCTTTCACGCTATGCTCGCAGATAATAGGTATTTATTAAATTCGAAGGGAAAACACAAGCCTATTTTTGCTTATTTTTTTATTTCAAACAGCTCGTTAGATCGACGAATATGAATTTTCTAAAAATAGATCGTACGTCTATAAAACTTTGTAACAATCGTACATGCGTGATCCGACAAATTAAACGGGCAGTAATTTCATGATACTGAATCGATTATTGAACTTTAAAATTTCTTATTATGATTTTCGTCTGTGATCTTTATTGCCCATGTTTTGTCTTTCTCTATTCATTAGACAGTTGAATTCACGTTTGTATTATTATTTATTTTATAGAACAACCGAAGCCAGAAGATCTGTGCAATCCATCCCCCTGTGGACCAAACGCAGATTGCAGAGAGGGAATCTGCACGTGCCTTCCAAACTATTTCGGTGATCCATACTCGTACTGTCGTCCAGAATGCACTATGAATTCGGACTGCTCTCGAGTAAAGGCGTGTGTCAATCAATTTTGCGTGGATCCTTGTATTGGCACGTGTGGAACCAATGCGAAATGCGACGTGGTCAATCACATTCCTATGTGCAGCTGTTTCCCTGGTACCACTGGAGATCCGTTCACACTGTGTCGACCACAGATATCTGAAGGTGTGTATAATATACATATGAGTTTTAGCTTTAGTATACATACGAATTTGTATAAGCAATCCGCAGAAGTACACGGGGACTATATTAAAGAAATTTTGATCGATTTCTCAGAACCAAGAAAACAACCATGCACACCGTCTCCCTGTGGGCCGAACAGCATTTGCAAGGTGGTGAACGATCATGCAGTCTGCTCTTGTCAGACTGACTTTATCGGTAGTCCTCCTGCGTGCAGACCAGAGTGTGTAGTGAGTGCCGAGTGTCCGTTAACTCAGGCGTGTCTCGCTAACAAGTGTCAAGATCCCTGTCCAGGAACTTGCGGACAGAATACCAAGTGTCAAGTAGTCAATCACAATCCAATATGCAGCTGCTCCGAGGGACACACTGGCGATCCTTTCACTAGATGTTACATCATGCCCAGTAAGCTTTCTTGTTTCTATATTTAGACATTTATTCATCTACATAGTCTGGTTTGAAAAGCAATGGAATTGCTGATGCATTGAATCATACACCGATTTTTCTTCTAAAAATCGTTCATTTTATCGAATGTATGTTCCTTCGATATAAAGAAAAAAATGATAAATCAGTTAGTAAATAGATTTTTCGAGACACAATTGCATTATGTCAAAGATATTGACTTCAAATTTCTCGAAAAATATTGATTTCTAAAATATTAATTGTCGTATTTTAGATACTAAACTTATATATTTGCATCGAATACATTGTCCCTCTTTTTACGCCTGTTATATCGAATACAGCCTTTTAATCGCTAAGTAACATCGAGATCAGATAATCGACAGAATTATATTTACATCTATTTCTTTCGTAATATTCAAATATATTATTTCTTCGAATTTCAGGACAACCACCAGTACCAACGAACCCGTGTCAACCATCTCCGTGTGGTCCGAACGCGGAGTGTCAAGTGCGAGGTGATAGTTCAGCGTGTTCGTGTATCGAAAATTACATCGGTGTTCCACCAAATTGTAGACCTCAGTGTACGATTAATCCCGAGTGTCCGCCGCATTTAGCGTGTATGCAACAAAAGTGTCGCGATCCGTGCGTCGGTCTGTGCGGTTTGAACGCTCAGTGTACGGTGGTGAATCATCACGCGGTGTGTGCTTGTGTCGATGGTTACAGCGGAAATCCGTTCAGCGTTTGCGAGGCGATCCCGAAGGGTGAGTCTATCAAAGAACAATTTTTCATATTTCTTTCCTTCTTTCTCTCCTATTTGCAAATTTCGTCGTTTGCATGCGGACGAAGTGCAGGTAAGTGCTGATTTACATCTTCCAGAGTTAGACTGCGGATTTCTGCAAATTTATGAAAAATTTGAAGGTGCAAAAGTGCGTGTAATATACAAAAATATTTGTGGAATGTAATATATAAAAAAACGTACAATATGCGAAGTATAATATAATATAAATATAATATAAAAAATATAATGTAATATCTCGTCATAGCGTTTAGTAGGTAAAATAATCGCCTATCTACCATTATTAATTAAATTCGTAAAGATATGAATTTGCGTAAATATCCGCAGCCTAATAATAACGATCATTTCGTTTGCTAACAAATAATCATATTTTCGTCGTTGAGAAAGAACAGGCCCTAACAAACTCGGTGACAAAACGTCACTATGGTGGCGGGGCCATGAATTATCATCAACATGCACTTAGAGTGAGAATAATCGCCAATTGCATAATCACACCTGCGATTAACGTACCCAACGAAGTTGAGCACGGCTTCGAAAACCCCCACACGTACATATAATTGAGAGAATAATCATAAATGAAATATATAACCATGTTAAGAGATTGAATGGTGGCGGGGCCTATGGAACATAGGCTCTAATTATACTGTCCCCTGAATGATACCCGATAACCAATTCATCCCCTCGAATATGTAGGATATTGCACGTACTGACCATTCCCAATCCAAGCATAATGCTTTGCAACAGCCCTAAGGTTGAAACGTCCTGAGTTGGAAAAATCTTGGAACGTTTGGTCCCCTATGTACTACTCCGTACGAACTACCCTCGTTGCTCTGGATACAAAGGCATTAACCCTTAAAAAGTGATACGAGCTTACCCTTCCCGATTAAAGATTGAAACCGACCTCGAAAACACGCTTATTAAAAAGTACTTATAAGAATTAATTCCCTAACCCTAGATTATTAAGAAGATTAAAAACCCTAATAAACCCCGAATGCTTAGAAGCGTTTAGAAGATAGTAGACGTTTGAAGACACGCCTCATGATTCCAAATCACCCTAACACCCGATGCTAGAGCGAGAGCCAGTAATAGGAGATTGAATCCTACCCTTGAAGAATCAGACAAACGCAAGCATTTGAATGCTTGTTATTTAAGAAAGCTTCTGCTTATCCCCGATCATTCATTCGCAAATTTATTAAAACCTAATGGAAATATTCAACGAATATTCATACCACTGCACGAGCTTCCACCAAACACCGCATGATGAATTTAAACATAAGTGAAAGTGTTTCTCTTTTCGATCAGATACACCCTTAGATATTAGGAAACCATGCGAGCCTTCCCCCTGTGGTATCAACGCGATCTGTCGCGAGAACAATGGCGTCGGTTCCTGTTCCTGTCTGCCAGACTACATTGGTGACCCCTACGAAGGATGCAGACCTGAATGTACCCAAAACCCCGATTGCTCCAAGACGATGGCCTGCATGGGCCTCAAGTGCCGAGATCCCTGTCCAGGAACCTGTGGATTGCAAGCCCGTTGCGAAACGATCAATCACGTACCTGCGTGTTCATGTAACCCTGGATACACTGGCAATCCGTTCACCTATTGTTCCCCCATCTCCGCTGCTCGTAAGATTCCATTTTGTGTCACGTTTTGCAACCAAAGACGCTTGATCATTAAACAAAGATAGAGACGTAGAACGTAGAATCGAGGCCTTCATATTCATATAGCTGCGAGTAGAATAGTAACGAGGAATCAAAGTGTTGTTTAGATTAATCAAGCTGTTAGTTCGTTCAAGTAACTTGAAACAATTTTACGAGAGTGAAAAAGCGGTTTACTTAACTTGGAATATATTATCTTAATGTATAGCCTTGAAGTACGTGCACGTATTTCGTGTTTTAAGCGAAGTTCTAATTAGTCACACGTGAAAGAATATTCCAAGTTAAGTAAATAAATCACTCAGACCGATCATATATTGTTTCAAATTACTCGAACTGAAGTACCTTAATTAACCTAAATCATACTTAAGAGGATACCATGGCAGAGGACATACATAGACACGGAAAAGGACAGACACTGAGGACACAGAAAACTAACTTTCCAATCAGATAGTCAATTTAATTTCCGTGAGATCTCCTCATTTTTTCTCGACTTCGAATAGAAGATCATCGTTACGTTTCATTAGATTCGTCGCACAAGTAGTTTAACGAGCACAAAGCTTGATATATTTGCAACTGTGGCATATGTAGGCTGTTTAATGCAATTTTCCCTTACACAGCAAACCCCATAGAGTCAGACCCCTGTAGTCCGTCTCCATGCGGACCGAATAGTCAATGTCGAAACGTCAACGACCATGCTGTGTGTACCTGCCTGGCAAATTTCATTGGAAGCCCACCAACTTGTCGACCCGAATGCGTGGTAAACAGTGAATGTTCGAGGGAACTTGCGTGCATTAATCAAAAATGCGCGTCCCCGTGCATGAACTCGTGTGGTATCAATACGCAGTGTAAAGTGATCAACCACAGCCCCATATGCATCTGTAATATTGGATATACTGGTGATCCGTTTACGAAATGCTTCCCTACTCCACGTAAGAATATTTCTCTTGATATTTTCTCCATCATAGATCATCGAGATTTTTTAACCCTCCATTTAAAAGTCAGGATCAGCTAACAATTTCTATTTTATCAGACTCTAACGAAAGCATACGAGTTGCTTTAATATACTAGATTTCAAAGATTCACAGCTTCTATTGTACAATGGTTATGCATTATATTCTCATTATTTATGGTCTCATTATGTTTTCTAATCTCATAGATGTGCAATTTATAATTAATGAATTTAGGATACTTTCATCGTAATACGTTCGTCAGCTTGAATTTCATATTATGCATAACCTACTTCGTCAAACATCCAGAATCTAAGACATTTTAAAACCTTCGACAATGCGTAATTTACTTCATCAAATATCCAGTATCCAAAAATTCTAAAACTTTCGATTCATCCTAACAAATTGAATACAAACGGCTTCTATTAAAATTAACCACGTATAATGTAATCAACAAATTTTAGAATCACCCCAGAAAGACACTGACCTCGCTCCTAAAGATCCGTGCGTGCCATCACCTTGTGGCATGTACGCAGAATGCAGGAACATCGGTGGTACAGCCTCTTGTTCCTGTCTGCCAAGATATATCGGATCCCCACCGACCTGTCGACCGGAATGTCGCGTGAATTCAGATTGCCCCATGAATCTTGCGTGTACCAATGAGAAGTGCAGAGATCCTTGCCAAGGATCCTGTGGTGTCACGTCCCTGTGCACGGTTTACAATCACGTGCCTGTGTGCACTTGCCCTGAAGGATACACCGGCGATCCTTTCAGCAATTGCTATCCCGCACCCATTAAACCAAGTAAGGAAATTCAAGAAAAAGTAAGAATTGAAATTTGTATGGTGTGTAAAAAATACGAGACACGTTCGTTCCTTTAACAGCTGAACCAACTGTTGTTGACCCTTGTGCATCCTCACCATGTGGACCTAATGCACGTTGCGACGATGGAATTTGCACATGTTTACCAGAGTATCAGGGAGATCCTTACGTTGGTTGTCGACCAGAGTGCGTACTGAATACGGATTGTCCTCAGAATCGAGCATGCATCAGGAACAAGTGTGTCGATCCTTGCCCCGGCACATGTGGCCGAAATGCGCAGTGTCTGATATTCAATCATGTGCCCATGTGCAGCTGTCCTAGTGGAATGGTCGGAAATGCATTTGTTCAGTGCACTGCCCTTCAAGGTACAACTCCAGGAACTTATCTTTTAACCCTTAATTCATATCGCTATATTATAGACGGTATAACACATTTGGTTACATTTGAATTAATTACCAATATTATTTTTCGATACTAATATGAGAAAATATTCGTTATGACGGAAACTTAAATATCTACGATACTGTAACAATGACAGATACTGTAAAGAGGAATCCTTGTTCGCCGTCACCCTGTGGACCAAATAGCGTGTGTAGAGAGATCAATGAACAGCCAGTGTGTTCCTGCGTAGCAGGATTCCTGGGTGCACCACCTACCTGTAGACCAGAATGTACAGTCAGTTCAGATTGTCCTTTATCAGAAGCTTGTACCAACCAGAAATGTGTCAATCCCTGTCCCGGTTCATGTGGATTCAGAGCTACTTGTAACGTTGTCAATCATAATCCTATATGCAGTTGTCCATCAGAACTCACTGGCGATCCATTTGTTCAGTGTGTTCTACGACGTAAGATTTGTTTTCTCGATGTACCATCATTAGCGAAGTTTATAAAACTAATAATAATAATCCACATATGTACTTTTAGCACCCGAGCCCGTAGTGCCACAAAACCCATGCGAACCTTCTCCATGCGGACCCAATGCAGAATGCAGAGTGGTCAATGACGCTCCCTCTTGCTCTTGTTCGCCGGAATTCATAGGCACACCTCCCAATTGTAGACCCGAATGTATCAGTAACAGCGAATGTTCTGGTCACATGGCGTGTATGAATCAGAAATGTAGAGACCCTTGTCCGGGATCCTGTGGTGCCAACGCTGAATGTCGCGTTGTCAGTCACACACCTATGTGTGTGTGTCCGAGCGACTATACCGGTGATCCCTTCACTCAATGTACACCTAGACCACGTAAGGATCAACATTTTTGTTCATTGTCATTCTGTTATTATACCCGTTACTTGTGGTCAGAGGAATTAGCAGTCGGAACCTTTTACTTTGATTATCTATGCAGGAAATATTTTATTGCATTAATTTTCCGTATTTTCTGACTATTGTAAAAATTTTTAGCTGTCCCTGTGAATATTTCTCCATGCACTCCTTCGCCATGTGGCTTCAACGCGATATGCAAAGAACAAAACGGTATAGGTTCGTGTTCCTGTTCGCCCGATTACATTGGCAACCCTTACGAAGGTTGTCGTCCTGAATGTGTCGTTGATACGGACTGTCCATCTACCTTGAGTTGTATACGTTCTAAATGTCAAGATCCTTGTCCAGGCACTTGTGGAACGAACACAGAGTGCAAGGTTATCAATCATCGTCCTGCGTGCACGTGTATTCAAGGTTACAGTGGAAATCCCTTCCAATACTGCACCTTGATGCGTGAATTAGGTATGAGTATTTAGCTATTCGTTCTAGTATGCATTTGGCATAAACTCTTACGAATGAAAAGATTGCAATTCTTGTCTTTCGAAAGATTATAAGATTACAATATTTTCTATAAATTTAAATCGTAATCTTGTAGAAGATAAACCGACGTACAAGGACCCGTGCAATCCTTCACCTTGCGGACCAAACAGTCAATGTCGAGTAGTAAATGATCAAGGGGTTTGTTCCTGTCTGCCAGAATATACAGGAGTACCTCCAATGTGCCGACCTGAGTGCGTTCTAAACTCAGAGTGTCCTCAAGATCGTGCATGTATTAACCAGAAATGCGTGGACCCGTGTCCTGCTTCTTGTGGTACATTCGCTACATGCGTGGTCAGGAATCACAGTCCAATCTGTGCATGTAGGCAATCATACACGGGGGATCCCTTCACCAGATGCTTCCCTATTCCACGTAAGATATATCGAAACATTTCGAGTAACTTAATATTAGAAAAGTTGAGTACGATTCACATTTCGCAATTGCACCTTTAGAAGCTACGCCTCCTACAGCACTCGAAGTTACACAACCATGTTTGCCTTCTCCTTGCGGTCCAAATTCAGAATGTCGTGTGGTTAATGGTGGGCCATCTTGTCAATGTCGACCATCTTATATTGGAAGTCCTCCAAACTGTCGTCCAGAGTGTACAGTGAATTCTGATTGTTCTCCTAGTCAGGCTTGCATGAGAGCAAAATGCGGAGACCCTTGCCCAGGTTCTTGTGGATCTAATGCTCAGTGCACTGTACTCAATCACGTTCCTATATGTTCCTGCTTTGAAGGATACACGGGAGATCCTTTCAGTAACTGTCATCCTGCTCCCGTTAAGCCAAGTAAGGAAGTTGAAATAAAAAGCCCAATCTGAGATTATTGAAAAGTTCCTAGAATATAACAGGTTTGTTCCTTTCGCAGCTGAACCCACTGTTGCTGACCCTTGTATACCATCGCCTTGTGGTCCCAATGCACGTTGTGACAATGGAATTTGTACATGCCTATCAGAATATCAGGGTGATCCATACGTAGGTTGTCGTCCAGAATGTGTACTGAATACGGACTGTCCTCAGAATAGAGCTTGTTTAAGAAACAAGTGCGTTGATCCTTGTCCTGGTACATGTGGTGTCAATGCAGAATGTTTAGTATACAATCACGTGCCCATGTGCAGTTGTCCTAATGGAATGGTTGGGAACGCATTCGTTCAGTGCACAATTCTTCAAGGTATAGATCAATGAATTTTCTTTCCAACATTCGATTCGTATCGCTTCATTTTGTAACGCATTTGAAAACCATTTCAAAAAACTGTATCGTATTGTGATGATAATAGATACCGTCAAAGGAAACCCATGTTCGCCTTCACCGTGTGGACCAAACAGTGTTTGTCGAGAGATCAATGGTCAGCCTGTTTGCTCTTGCGTAGCAGGATACTTAGGAGCACCACCAACTTGCAGACCAGAATGTACAGTCAGTTCCGATTGTCCACCGACACAGGCTTGCACCAATCAGAAATGTGTCAATCCTTGCCCCGGTACATGTGGGTTTAGAGCCATTTGCAATGTTGTCAATCATAATCCGATATGCAGCTGTCCACCTGAACTCTCTGGCGATCCATTTGTTCAGTGTGTTCCACGACGTAAGATTTAGTTCTCCAAGATTTGAACGCTGAACAGAATTTAGAAACGTAAGACAGATGATGGTAATTTGTACGTGTCTTTTTAGCACCCGAGCCCGTAGTGCCACAAAACCCATGTGAACCATCTCCGTGTGGACCCAATGCAGAATGCAGAGTCATCAATAGTGCACCCTCTTGCTCCTGTTTGTCGGAATTCATAGGAGCCCCACCTAATTGCAGGCCCGAATGTGTTAGCAATAGCGAATGTCCTAGTCAGTTTGCCTGTATGAATAAAAAATGCAGGGATCCTTGTCCTGGATCTTGTGGGGCTAACGCCGAGTGTCGTGTTGTTAGTCATACACCTATGTGTATTTGCCCTGATCGCTATACCGGTGATCCTTTCACTCAGTGTACACTCAAACCACGTAAGGATAAAAATCTATATTTTCTTCCTTTTGAACTTTCACTAATAGTCAAAGAAGTATTTTCGAGAAGGCAGAACCTTTGACTTTCATAATCGCTTATTATATCTGTTGCCCTTCGATTGCTCTGACTATTTAAAAAATTTCTAGCTGTTCCCGTCAATCTCTCCCCATGTAGTCCATCGCCGTGTGGTTTCAATGCGATATGTAAAGAACAGAACGGTGTCGGTTCATGTTCCTGTGCAGCCGATTACATCGGCAACCCTTACGAAGGGTGCCGCCCTGAGTGTGTCGTTGACACTGACTGTCCATCAGCATTAAGTTGTATACGCTCTAAATGCCAAGATCCCTGCCCAGGTACCTGTGGCACGAACGCAGAATGCAAGGTCATCAACCATCGTCCTGCATGCACGTGCTTCCGAGACTACACTGGAAATCCATTCCAATACTGTAACTTGATACGTGAAATAGGTACGAAAAATCTCTCAAATGTTTGATTAGGATCATTATAGTAAATTTTTTGCACTCATGAATTTTTATTTCTGAAGATCAGGCGAAATAATTTTCGCAACGTAAAATCTGAATTAAAATCTCTTGTAGAAGACGAAATGAAATATAAGGATCCGTGCAACCCTTCTCCCTGTGGACCAAACAGTCAGTGTCGCGTAGTAAACGGTCAAGGAGTCTGCTCCTGTCTACCAGAATTCACGGGTGCTCCTCCTATGTGTCGCCCCGAGTGTACTCTAAATTCCGAGTGCCCTGAAGAACGTGCATGCGTTAACCAGAAATGTGTGGACCCGTGTCCCGCATCTTGTGGCACATTTGCTACATGTGTGGTAAAAAATCACAGTCCAATTTGTGCTTGCAGAGAAGCATACACTGGAGATCCATTTACTAGATGTTTCCCCATCCCACGTAAGACATTTCGGAAAATTCCAAATTAATTTATATACTCTTTGATATAAAATTAGACAGATTTCTGATTTCGTAATTGCCCTTTTAGAAGCTTTACCACCAGCCACAGCCGAACCTTCACAACCTTGCTTGCCATCTCCTTGTGGTCCAAATTCAGAGTGTCGTGTAGTTAACGGAGGTCCATCTTGTCAATGTCTACCAACTTACATTGGAAGTCCACCAAACTGTCGTCCAGAGTGTACAGTTAGCTCTGACTGTTCTCCCAGTCAAGCCTGTATAAGACAAAAATGCAGAGATCCTTGTCCAGGGTCTTGTGGCTCTAACGCACAGTGTACAGTATCGAATCACGTCCCTGTATGTTCGTGTCTAAGCGGGTACACAGGAGATCCTTTCAACAGTTGCAATCTTGCTCCTGTTAAACCAAGTAAGAAAAATTAAAAGCTAGTAATTATGATTAATCTGTAAAAAATGCGAAATATTTTTATTGCCTTTATAGCTGAACCCACGATTATTGACCCCTGTGCATCATCACCTTGTGGTCCCAATGCACGTTGCGACAGTGGAATCTGTACATGTTTACCAGAGTATCAGGGAGATCCTTACATTGGTTGTCGACCAGAATGTGTGTTGAACACAGATTGCCCTCAGAATCGTGCTTGTTTGAGAAACAAGTGTGTTGATCCTTGTCCTGGTACTTGTGGCATAAATGCAGAATGTCTGGTGTACAGTCACGTGCCCATGTGCAGCTGTCCCAACGGAATGGTTGGAAACGCATTTGTTCAGTGCACTGTTCTCCAAGGTACAAATTAAGAAATTTCATTTGCGATGATAATTTAATTCTCAACTCACACGCCTCTGACTGTCTCCCATTATATTTTAACGATAGATACCATAAAAAGAAACCCTTGTTCACCTTCACCATGTGGACCAAACAGTATTTGCCGAGAGATCAATGGACAGCCTGTTTGCTCCTGCGTAGCAGGATTCCTAGGTGCTCCTCCAACTTGTAGACCAGAATGTATACTTAGTTCTGATTGTTCTCTATCAGAAGCTTGTAGTAATCAAAAATGTGTCAATCCTTGTCCTGGCTCATGTGGATTCAGAGCTACTTGTAACGTTGTCAATCATAATCCTATATGCAGCTGCCCACCAGATCTCACTGGCGATCCATTTGTTCAATGTACCCCACGCCGTAAGCAGTGTTCCTTTAAAATTGGATCTTTTGTAGATCTTGTTTCAAAACATAAAGCTTATTCATATATATGTTTTTAGCACCAGAGCCCGTTGTGCCACAAAACCCATGCGAACCTTCTCCATGCGGACCAAATTCTCAATGTAGAGTTGTCAACGATGCTCCCTCATGTTCTTGTTCTCCAGAATTCATAGGCGCACCTCCCAATTGTCGACCGGAATGTGTCAGTAATAGCGAATGTCCTAGTCAGTTTGCTTGCATCAATCAGAAATGCAGAGATCCTTGTCCTGGATCCTGCGGGGCGAACGCGGAGTGTCGTGTTGTCAGTCATACACCGATGTGTGTTTGTCCTGAGGATTATACTGGTGACCCCTTCACGCAGTGTACACCAAGACCACGTAAGGGCCAAGAGTATTCTTTCCCTAATACTTTTTTTCTAAATTACAGTTATCAAAAATTTTTATTCCTCGAAAATATTAAATGATAACGTTAAAACGTTTTAGCTATCCCCGTCGATATTTCTCCATGCACCCCATCACCGTGTGGTTTCAACGCGATATGCAGAGAACAAAGTGGTGTAGGGTCCTGTTCCTGTTTAAATGATTATATTGGCAATCCCTATCAAGGATGTCGCCCAGAATGTGTCGTTGACACTGACTGTTCATCCACATTGAGCTGCATACGCTCTAAATGTCAGGATCCTTGCCCCGGCACCTGTGGTACGAACGCGGAGTGCCAAGTCATCAATCATCGTCCTGCATGCACTTGTCTCCAAGGTTACAGTGGAAATCCCTTCCAATACTGTACAGTAATCCGGGAAATAGGTATGAGTATTTACCCACTCGTCCTGGTATACATTTGACATAAACTCTGACGTATGAAAAGCTTGAAGTTCGAAGTACGAAGCTTGTACTTCGAAAGATTACAAGAAATATTTCTTATAATTCGAAATCCCCATTTTCTAGAAGATAAACCAACGTACAAGGATCCATGCAACCCTTCACCTTGCGGACCAAATAGTCAATGTCGAGTAATTAATGATCAAGGTGTTTGCTCTTGCCTGGCAGAATTCACGGGTACACCTCCCATGTGTCGTCCCGAGTGTACTTTAAATTCAGAATGTTCACAAGATCGTGCGTGTGTTAACCAGAAATGTGTTAATCCATGTCCTGCTTCATGTGGAACTTTTGCCACTTGCGTTGTCAGGAACCATAGTCCAATTTGTGCCTGCCGAGACTCATATACTGGAGATCCGTTCACTAGATGTTTCCCCATTCCACGTAAGGAATTTCGGAAAATTTCAAATTAATGTATATACCTTTCCATATAAAATTAGACTGATTTCTAATTTTGTAATTGCCCTTTTAGAAGCCTTACCACCATCCACAGTCGAACCTTCACAACCGTGTTTGCCATCCCCTTGTGGTCCTAATTCGGAGTGCCGTGTAGTTAACGGAGGTCCATCCTGTCAATGTCTATCAACTTACATTGGAAGTCCACCAAACTGTCGTCCTGAATGTACAGTAAACTCTGATTGTTCCGCAAGCCAGACTTGCATGAGACAAAGGTGCAGAGATCCTTGTCCAGGTTCATGTGGTTCCAATGCCCAGTGCACGGTGCTCAATCACGTTCCTATATGCACCTGTTTCGAAGGATACACTGGAGATCCTTTCAGTAACTGCAATCTCTCTCCCGTCATACCAAGTAAGAAAGATACAAAAATATGACAAATTATAATTTGCGAAGGAGTTCTAAAAAATGAGGAACATGATTTATTTTCCTTTGATAGCTGAACCAACTATTGTTGATCCCTGTGCATCATCACCCTGTGGGCCCAATGCACGTTGCGACAATGGAATATGTACATGTTTGGCAGAATATCAAGGGGACCCTTATATGGGTTGTCGACCAGAATGTGTACTGAACACAGACTGTCCTCAGAATCGGGCTTGTTCAAGGAATAAGTGCATCGATCCTTGTCCTGGTACATGTGGTTTAAATGCAGAATGTTTAGTATACAATCACGTGCCTATGTGTAGCTGTCCCACTGGTATGATTGGAAATGCTTTCGTTCAGTGCACTGTCTTCCAAGGTACAGTTTGTAAAATATTCTTTGCTATATTAGTTCGCTTCTGATTCTCATCTGATCGTCTATCATATTGCCATGATGATAGATACCATAGAAAGAAATCCATGTTCGCCGTCGCCGTGTGGACCAAACAGCGTTTGTCGAGAGATCAATGGTCAGCCTGTCTGTTCCTGCGTAGCAGGATTCTTAGGAGCACCACCAACTTGTAGACCAGAGTGCACAGTCAGTACTGATTGTCCATTGACACAAGCTTGTACTAATCAGAAGTGTGTAAATCCATGTCCGGGTTCATGTGGATTCAGAGCTGTTTGCAATGTTGTCAATCATAATCCTATATGCAGTTGTCCAGCAGACCTCGCTGGTGATCCGTTTGTTCAATGTGTTCCACCACGTAAGATCTATTTCTTCGTATATGATCTCTGAACAAAATTATTATCAAATATATTAATAATTCATACACATATTTTTAGCACCCGAACCCGTAGCCGTGTAGTTAACGGAGGTCCATCCTGTCAATGTCTATCAACTTACATTGGAAGTCCACCAAACTGTCGTCCTGAATGTACAGTAAACTCTGATTGTTCCGCAAGCCAGACTTGCATGAGACAAAGGTGCAGAGATCCTTGTCCAGGTTCATGTGGTTCCAATGCCCAGTGCACGGTGCTCAATCACGTTCCTATATGCACCTGTTTCGAAGGATACACTGGAGATCCTTTCAGTAACTGCAATCTCTCTCCCGTCATACCAAGTAAGAAAGATACAAAAATATGACAAATTATAATTTGCGAAGGAGTTCTAAAAAATGAGGAACATGATTTATTTTCCTTTGATAGCTGAACCAACTATTGTTGATCCCTGTGCATCATCACCCTGTGGGCCCAATGCACGTTGCGACAATGGAATATGTACATGTTTGGCAGAATATCAAGGGGACCCTTATATGGGTTGTCGACCAGAATGTGTACTGAACACAGACTGTCCTCAGAATCGGGCTTGTTCAAGGAATAAGTGCATCGATCCTTGTCCTGGTACATGTGGTTTAAATGCAGAATGTTTAGTATACAATCACGTGCCTATGTGTAGCTGTCCCACTGGTATGATTGGAAATGCTTTCGTTCAGTGCACTGTCTTCCAAGGTACAGTTTGTAAAATATTCTTTGCTATATTAGTTCGCTTCTGATTCTCATCTGATCGTCTATCATATTGCCATGATGATAGATACCATAGAAAGAAATCCATGTTCGCCGTCGCCGTGTGGACCAAACAGCGTTTGTCGAGAGATCAATGGTCAGCCTGTCTGTTCCTGCGTAGCAGGATTCTTAGGAGCACCACCAACTTGTAGACCAGAGTGCACAGTCAGTACTGATTGTCCATTGACACAAGCTTGTACTAATCAGAAGTGTGTAAATCCATGTCCGGGTTCATGTGGATTCAGAGCTGTTTGCAATGTTGTCAATCATAATCCTATATGCAGTTGTCCAGCAGACCTCGCTGGTGATCCGTTTGTTCAATGTGTTCCACCACGTAAGATCTATTTCTTCGTATATGATCTCTGAACAAAATTATTATCAAATATATTAATAATTCATACACATATTTTTAGCACCCGAACCCGTAGTGCCACAAAACCCATGCGAACCTTCTCCATGCGGACCAAATTCTCAATGTAGAGTTGTCAACGATGCTCCCTCATGTTCTTGTTCTCCAGAATTCATAGGCGCACCTCCCAATTGTCGACCGGAATGTGTCAGTAATAGCGAATGTCCTAGTCAGTTTGCTTGCATCAATCAGAAATGCAGAGATCCTTGTCCTGGATCCTGCGGGGCGAACGCGGAGTGTCGTGTTGTCAGTCATACTCCAATGTGTGTTTGTCCTGAGGATTATACTGGTGACCCCTTCACGCAGTGTACACCAAGACCACGTAAGGATGAAGAATTCTTTTTCCAGTTTTCGAATGTTCAAATTATTGCTATTGGAATATTCGTCCCTTTATGGACATAATAAGTAATTTTATTCTATCTAATTATAGTCTCAAATTTTCTGATTTCTCAAAACCGTTCTAGCTGTTCCCGTCAGTCTTTCTCCGTGCACCCCATCACCATGCGGTTTCAATGCGATATGCAAAGAGCAAAACGGTGTTGGATCTTGTTCCTGCTTGTCTGATTACATTGGTAATCCTTATGAAGGGTGTCGACCCGAATGTGTCATTGATACCGATTGTGCATCCACATTGAGCTGTATACGATCCAAATGTCAAGATCCTTGTCCAGGGACTTGTGGTACAAATGCAGAGTGTAAGGTCATAAATCACCGCCCTGCATGTACATGCATTCAAGGTTACAGTGGGAATCCGTTCCAATTCTGTACTCTCATACGGGAGATAGGTATGAAAGAAATTCGAATCGTCATATTTAACAAACATAGTTATGATTACAAATATGGTGAATAACTAGCACTTGAAAAATGAAAATTTTGTAGAAGATGACACGAAATACAAAGACCCGTGCAACCCTTCACCTTGCGGACCCAACAGTCAATGTCGCGTCGTAAATGGGCAAGGTGTCTGCTCTTGTCTACCAGAATTCACGGGTGCTCCTCCTATGTGCCGCCCCGAGTGTACTCTAAATTCCGAGTGCCCTGAAGAACGTGCATGCGTTAACCAGAAATGTGTTAATCCATGCCCTGCTTCATGTGGAACATTCGCCACTTGCGTGGTCAGAAACCATAGCCCGATTTGTGCCTGCAGAGATTCGTATACTGGCGATCCATTCACCAGATGTTTCCCTATTCCACGTGAGAAATTTGAAGCTCGTATTTTAACCGCCCAAAAATTAGACAGATTGTTATAACATGTCTGCTCTTTTAGAAGCTACACCACCTACAGCAATTCAAGTTTCGCAACCTTGTTTGCCCTCTCCTTGTGGTCCAAATTCAGAATGTCGTGTGATCAATGGTGGCCCATCTTGCCAGTGTCGGTCAACTTACGTTGGAAGTCCACCAAACTGTCGGCCAGAATGTACGGTCAACTCCGATTGTTCCCCTAGTCAGGCCTGCATGAGAGAAAAATGCAGGGACCCTTGTCCAGGTTCTTGTGGTTCCAACGCTCAGTGCACGGTGCTCAATCACGTTCCCATATGTTCCTGCTTCAACGGATACACCGGAGATCCTTTCAGCAATTGTTATCCAATTCCGGTGATACCAAGTAAGAAAACCGAATACGTAATACTTAGTAGAATTTGTGAAAGGTTTGACACGCATATGAGACACGTTTATTCTCCTAATAGCGGAACCGTCTGTGGTTGATCCTTGCGCATCATCACCTTGTGGTCCCAATGCACGTTGCGAAAGTGGTATTTGTACATGCTTGACAGACTATCAGGGTGATCCATATGTTGGGTGCCGACCAGAGTGCGTACTGAATACAGATTGTGCCCAGAATCGGGCTTGTTTGAGAAACAAATGTGTCGATCCTTGCCCTGGTACTTGCGGTCGAAACGCGGAATGTCTTGTATACAATCATATACCCATGTGCAGTTGCCCGAGTGGAATGGTTGGAAATGCGTTTGTACTGTGCACTGTCGCTCAAGGTACAGAAACTTCTCTTTCCCTAATTTTCTCCGCAGGCTAGTACTAAGTATTGCTCAGAATATTTACTATATTACCATAATACCAGATACCATAAAGGGCAACCCATGCTCTCCTTCGCCTTGCGGACCAAACAGTATCTGTCGCGAAATCAATGGCCAACCTGTCTGCTCCTGCGTATCTGGATTTTTGGGAACACCGCCTACCTGTAGACCAGAGTGTACAGTCAGCTCCGATTGTCCCCTGACACAAGCTTGTAGCAACCAGAAATGTGTCAATCCATGCTCTGGCACATGTGGGTTCGGAGCCATCTGCAACGTCGTCAATCATAATCCCATATGTGGCTGCCCGCCTGAACTTACAGGCGATCCATTTGTCCAATGTGTCCCCCGACGTAAGATTTCTTGCTTCAGTATCCCAGTTACTAATGAAAATTTAAAAAATCATAATGCTAATTCTCTTTTAGCACCCGAGCCCCCACCGAGCCCGCTGTACCGCAAAATCCATGCGAACCCTCTCCGTGTGGACCCAATGCAGAATGCAGAGTCGTCAATGATTCTCCGTCTTGCACTTGTTTATCTGAATTCATAGGCACCCCACCCAATTGCAGACCCGAGTGTGGCAGCAATAGCGAATGCCCCAGTCAGTTGGCTTGCATCAATCAAAAGTGCAGAGATCCTTGTCCTGGATCTTGTGGGGCCAACGCGGAATGTCGCGTTGTCAGTCATACACCTATGTGTGCCTGTTTGAACGACTATACCGGCGACCCCTTCACTCAGTGTACACCTACGCCACGTAAGGCTTACGAAATCCTTTTCTTGCTTTGAACAATCCGTTTCTGATCTCTAAATTGCTTCTTCAAAATATTGTAGTTGTTCCCGTCAATCTCTCCCCATGTAGTCCATCACCGTGTGGTTTCAATGCTATATGCAAAGAACAAAACGGTGTCGGATCATGTTCCTGTGCTGCTGATTACGTCGGCAACCCTTATGAAGGATGCCGCCCCGAATGTGTCGTTGACACTGACTGTCCGTCTACACTGAGCTGTATACGTTCCAAATGTCAAGATCCTTGTCCAGGTACCTGTGGCACTAACGCAGAATGCAAGGTTATCAATCACAGGCCTGCGTGCACATGCGTTCCGGGTTACAGTGGAAATCCCTTCCAATACTGCTCTGTAATACCCGCAATAGGTACGATAGATTCAGATTTTCTGGAATGTAATGACCATGAGCTAAAATTTATGCCTCATCTAAAGCTGACCAAAGCAGACATTTATTCGTTCTTTCCGTGATTTAAAATATAAAACAAAATCTCTTGCAGAGGACGAAACGAAGTATAAGGATCCCTGCAGCCCTTCGCCTTGCGGACCCAACAGCCAGTGTCGCGTAGTAAACGGACAAGGAGTTTGCTCCTGTCTGCCAGAATTCACTGGCACGCCACCCATGTGCCGCCCCGAGTGTACTTTAAATTCGGAATGCCCACTAGATCGTGCCTGTGTTAGTCAGAAATGTGTTAATCCATGCCCTGCTTCATGTGGAACATTTGCCACTTGCGTTGTCAGGAACCATAGCCCAATTTGTGCCTGCAGAGACTCATATACCGGAGATCCGTTCACTAGATGTTTCCCCGTTCCACGTGAGATATACCAAACACGTATTTATATTTCCGGAAAATCAGATAGATTGTTCATATCATATTTCGTCTTTTAGAAGCTACACCACCTACTGCAATTGAAGTTTCGCAACCTTGTTTGCCCTCTCCTTGTGGTCCAAATTCTGAATGTCGTGTGGTGTCTGCCAGAATTCACTGGCACGCCACCCATGTGCCGCCCCGAGTGTACTTTAAATTCGGAATGCCCACTAGATCGTGCCTGTGTTAGTCAGAAATGTGTTAATCCATGCCCTGCTTCATGTGGAACATTTGCCACTTGCGTTGTCAGGAACCATAGCCCAATTTGTGCCTGCAGAGACTCATATACCGGAGATCCGTTCACTAGATGTTTCCCCGTTCCACGTGAGATATACCAAACACGTATTTATATTTCCGGAAAATCAGATAGATTGTTCATATCATATTTCGTCTTTTAGAAGCTACACCACCTACTGCAATTGAAGTTTCGCAACCTTGTTTGCCCTCTCCTTGTGGTCCAAATTCAGAATGTCGTGTGATCAATGGTGGCCCATCTTGCCAGTGTCGGTCAACTTACGTTGGAAGTCCACCAAACTGTCGGCCAGAATGTACGGTCAACTCCGATTGTTCCCCTAGTCAGGCCTGCATGAGAGAAAAATGCAGGGACCCTTGTCCAGGTTCTTGTGGTTCCAACGCTCAGTGCACGGTGCTCAATCACGTTCCTATATGTTCCTGCTTCAACGGATACACCGGAGATCCTTTCAGCAATTGTTATCCAATTCCGGTGACACCAAGTAAGAAAGCCGAAGACGTAACATTCAGTAGAATTTGTGAAAGGTTTGACACGCATATGAGACACGTTTATTCTCCTAATAGTTGAACCGTCGGTTGTTGACCCTTGCTCATCATCACCTTGTGGTCCCAATGCACGCTGTGAAAGTGGAGTCTGTACATGCTTGACAGACTATCAGGGTGATCCATATGTTGGATGCCGACCAGAGTGTGTACTCAATACCGATTGTGCTCAAAATCGCGCTTGTTTGAGAAACAAATGCGTCGATCCTTGCCCTGGTACTTGTGGTCGAAATGCAGAGTGTCTAGTATACAATCATGTGCCCATGTGTAGTTGCCCAAGTGGAATGGTTGGAAATGCATTCGTACTGTGCACTGTCGCTCAAGGTACACTTTAGAAACTTCGTTGCCTATTTCTAATCCATATCGCTGGGTATTAACCGTCCGTAATACTGCCATTTACGTTAGGACACTCAATTGTATATTATTTAGTTTGACTTCTTAATATCTTAGAAATATTCTTAATGATCGCAATTGCCTAAATATTACGTGTAAACAGAACGTCAATAAGTGCATGTTCATTGAGTTTACAACTCAGAATATTACAATCGTGTTAAATATATATATAAAGCAACGATACTAGCCGATAGCTGGATTATTCATACCGACTGTATCGCTATTCAAAATACTTACTGTAGCGCTGTTCTGAATTTTTGCCACTTTTCATTATATCAGATACCGAAAAGGGTAACCCATGCTCTCCTTCGCCATGTGGACCAAACAGTATCTGTCGAGAAATCAATGGACAACCTGTCTGCTCCTGTTTGCTCTTGCGTAGCAGGATACTTAGGAGCACCACCAACTTGCAGACCAGAATGTACAGTCAGTTCCGATTGTCCACCGACACAGGCTTGCACCAATCAGAAATGTGTCAATCCTTGCCCTGGTACATGTGGGTTTAGAGCCATTTGCAATGTTGTCAATCATAATCCGATATGCAGCTGTCCACCTGAACTCTCTGGCGATCCATTTGTCCAATGTGTCCCACGACGTAAGATTTCTTGCTTCAGTATTCTAGTTACTAGTTACTAAACTACAATTTTAACAAACATAATGGTAATTCATTTTTAGCTCCCGAGCCCGCTGTACCGCAAAATCCATGCGAACCCTCTCCGTGTGGACCCAATGCAGAATGCAGAGTCGTCAATGATTCTCCGTCTTGCACTTGTTTATCTGAATTCATAGGCACCCCACCCAATTGCAGACCCGAGTGTGGCAGCAATAGCGAATGCCCCAGTCAGTTGGCTTGCATCAATCAGAAGTGCAGAGATCCTTGTCCTGGATCCTGCGGGGCAAACGCGGAGTGTCGTGTTGTTAGTCATACCCCTATGTGTGCCTGTTTGAATGACTATACCGGCGACCCCTTCACTCAGTGTACACCTACGCCACGTAAGGCTTACGAAATCCTTTTCTTGCTTTGAACAATCCGTTTCTGATTTCTAAATTGCTTCTTAAAAACATTGTAGTTGTTCCCGTCAATCTCTCCCCATGTAGTCCATCACCGTGTGGTTTCAATGCTATATGCAAAGAACAAAATGGTGTCGGATCATGTTCCTGTGCTGCTGATTACATCGGCAACCCTTATGAAGGATGCCGCCCCGAATGTGTCGTTGACACTGACTGTCCATCTACACTGAGCTGTATACGTTCCAAATGTCAAGATCCCTGTCCAGGTACCTGTGGCACTAATGCAGAATGCAAGGTCATCAATCACCGGCCTGCATGCAGTTGCCTTCCGGGTTACAGTGGAAATCCCTTCCAGTATTGCTCGATAGTGCCCGCAATAGGTACGATGTATTTTAATTTTTGTCAATCATCAAGATAATGAACCAAGTTTTACGTCTTATCTAAAGCTGTATAAAGCAGAAATTTATTCGTCTGTTTCGTGGTGTAAAACACGAATTAAAATCTCTTGCAGAGGATGAGACGAAGTATAAGGATCCCTGCAGTCCTTCGCCTTGTGGTCCCAACAGTCAGTGTCGCGTAGTAAACGGACAAGGTGTCTGCTCTTGTCTGGCAGAATTCACGGGTACACCTCCCATGTGTCGTCCCGAATGTACTTTAAATTCAGAATGTCCGCAAGATCGTGCCTGCGTTAACCAGAAATGTGTTAATCCATGCCCTGCTTCGTGTGGAACTTTCGCCACTTGCGTTGTCAGGAACCATAGCCCAATTTGTGCCTGCCGAGACTCATATACTGGAGATCCATTCACTAGATGTTTCCCCATCCAACGTAAGGAATTTCGGAAAATTTGAAATTAATGTATATACTTTTTGATATAAAATTAGACTGATTTCTAATTTTGTAATTGCCCTTTTAGAAGCCTTACCACCATCCACAGTCGAACCTTCACAACCGTGTTTGCCATCCCCTTGTGGCCCTAATTCGGAGTGCCGTGTAGTTAACGGAGGTCCATCCTGTCAATGTTTATCATTCGGCAACCCTTATGAAGGATGCCGCCCCGAATGTGTCGTTGACACTGACTGTCCATCTACACTGAGCTGTATACGTTCCAAATGTCAAGATCCCTGTCCAGGTACCTGTGGCACTAATGCAGAATGCAAGGTCATCAATCACCGGCCTGCATGCAGTTGCCTTCCGGGTTACAGTGGAAATCCCTTCCAGTATTGCTCGATAGTGCCCGCAATAGGTACGATGTATTTTAATTTTTGTCAATCATCAAGATAATGAACCAAGTTTTACGTCTTATCTAAAGCTGTATAAAGCAGAAATTTATTCGTCTGTTTCGTGGTGTAAAACACGAATTAAAATCTCTTGCAGAGGATGAGACGAAGTATAAGGATCCCTGCAGTCCTTCGCCTTGTGGTCCCAACAGTCAGTGTCGCGTAGTAAACGGACAAGGTGTCTGCTCTTGTCTGGCAGAATTCACGGGTACACCTCCCATGTGTCGTCCCGAATGTACTTTAAATTCAGAATGTCCGCAAGATCGTGCCTGCGTTAACCAGAAATGTGTTAATCCATGCCCTGCTTCGTGTGGAACTTTCGCCACTTGCGTTGTCAGAAACCATAGTCCAATTTGTGCCTGCCGAGACTCATATACCGGAGATCCATTCACTAGATGTTTCCCCATCCCACGTAAGGAATTTCAGAAAATTTCAAAGTAATTTATATTCTTTTTGATATAACAGTAGACTGATTTCTAATTTTATAATTGCCCTTTTAGAAGCCTTACCACCATCCACAGTCGAACCTTCACAACCGTGTTTGCCATCCCCTTGTGGCCCTAATTCGGAGTGCCGTGTAGTTAACGGAGGTCCATCCTGTCAATGTTTATCATCTTACATTGGAAGTCCACCAAACTGTCGTCCAGAATGTACAGTAAACTCTGACTGTTCACCTAGTCAAGCCTGCATGAGAGAAAAATGCAGGGACCCTTGTCCAGGCTCCTGTGGTTCCAACGCTCAGTGCACGGTGCTCAATCATGTTCCTATATGTTCCTGCTTCAATGGATACACTGGTGATCCCTTCAGCAACTGTTACCCTGCTCCCGTGGCACCAAGTAAGAAAGTTAAAAACGTAACATTCAGTAGAAATTGTAAAAAGTTTGAAATTTATGTGATACACGTTAATTTTTCTAATAGCGGAACCGTCAGTGGTTGATCCTTGCGCATCATCACCTTGTGGTCCCAATGCACGTTGCGAAAGTGGTATTTGTACGTGCTTGACAGACTATCAGGGTGATCCATACGTTGGGTGCCGACCAGAGTGCGTACTGAATACAGATTGTGCCCAGAATCGCGCTTGTTTGAGAAACAAATGTGTCGATCCTTGCCCTGGTACTTGCGGTCGAAATGCAGAGTGTCTAGTATACAATCATGTGCCCATGTGCAGTTGTCCAAGTGGAATGGTTGGAAATGCGTTCGTTCTGTGTACTGTCGCTCAAGGTACATCTTAGAAACTTCTTCCATTGCCCTAATTTTCTTTACTGCATGGTACTATGGAAGTTTCCAGAACATTTACCAAATTGTCATGATAATAGATACCGTAAAGGGCAAGCCATGCTCTCCTTCGCCTTGTGGGCCAAACAGCGTCTGTCGAGAAATCAATGGACAATCTGTCTGCTCCTGTGTATCTGGATTCTTGGGAACTCCACCTACATGTAGACCAGAGTGTACAATCAGCTCTGATTGTCCTTTGACACAGGCTTGTAGCAATCAGAAATGTGTCAATCCATGTTCTGGTACATGCGGGTTCAGGGCCACCTGCAATGTCGTCAATCATAATCCCATATGTAGCTGTCCACCAGAACTTACAGGCGATCCATTCATTCAATGTGCGCCGAGACGTAAGATTTGTTCCTTCAATATGTCACTTATTCAGGAAATTTTTAAGAAACATAATAGTAACTTACACGTGTAATTTTAGCACCCGAGCCCATTGTACCACAAAATCCATGCGAACCCTCTCCGTGTGGACCCAATGCAGAATGCCGAGTCATCAATGATGCTCCCTCTTGCTCTTGTTTATCGGAATACACAGGCGCCCCACCCAATTGCAGACCCGAATGTGGCAGTAATAGCGAATGTCCAAATCAGTTGGCTTGCATCAATCAGAAATGCAGAGATCCTTGTCCTGGATCCTGCGGGGCAAACGCGGAGTGCCGTGTTGTCAGTCATACCCCTATGTGTGCCTGTTTGAACGACTATACTGGTGATCCCTTCAGTCAATGTTCTCCTATACCAGGTAAGGCTCGCGAAAACCTTTTCTTCTTTTTTAATAATTAGTTTCTGTTCACTAAGTCAATTCGTAAAAAAATTTTAGCTGTTCCCGTGAATCTTACGCCATGTAGTCCATCACCTTGTGGCTTTAACGCTATATGCAAAGAGCGAAATGGCGTAGGTTCCTGTTCCTGTTTATCTGATTATATCGGAAACCCCTACGATGGGTGTCGTCCCGAGTGTGTCGTTGACAGTGATTGTCCATCTACACTGAGCTGTATACGTTCCAAATGTCAAGACCCCTGCCCTGGTGCCTGTGGCACAAACACGGAGTGCAAAGTCATTAATCACCGACCTGCGTGCACATGCATTCCGGGTTACAGTGGAAATCCCTTCCAATACTGCTCCATAATGCCCGCAATAGGTACGATATATTTTAATTTTCGTCAATCATCAAGATAATGACCCAAGATTTAGGTCTTTTCTAAAGTTGATCAAAGCAGAAATTTATTCGTCTGCTTCGTGATGTAATAGATGAATTAATATCTCTTGTAGAGGATGAAACGCAAAATAAGGATCCGTGCAACCCTTCACCTTGCGGTCCAAACAGTCAATGTCGCATCGTAAATGGGCAAGGTGTCTGCTCTTGCCTGGCTGAATTCACTGGCACACCTCCCATGTGTCGTCCCGAATGTACTTTAAATTCAGAATGTCCTCAAGATCTTGCATGCGTTAAGCAGAAATGTGTTAATCCATGCCCTGCTTCGTGTGGAACTTTCGCCACTTGCGTTGTCAGGAACCATAGCCCAATTTGTGCCTGCCGAGACTCATATACCGGAGATCCATTCACTAGATGTTTCCCCATCCCACGTAAGGAATTTCAGAAAATTTCAAAGTAATTTATATTCTTTTTGATATAACAGTAGACTGATTTCTAATTTTATAATTGCCCTTTTAGAAGCCTTACCACCATCCACAGTCGAACCTTCACAACCGTGTTTGCCATCCCCTTGTGGTCCTAATTCGGAGTGCCGTGTTGTTAACGGAGGTCCTTCTTGTCAATGTCTATCAACTTACATTGGAAGTCCACCAAACTGTCGTCCAGAATGTACAGTAAACTCTGACTGTTCACCTAGTCAAGCCTGCATGAGAGAAAAATGCAGGGACCCTTGTCCAGGCTCCTGTGGTTCCAACGCTCAGTGCACGGTGCTCAATCATGTTCCTATATGTTCCTGCTTCAATGGATACACTGGAGATCCCTTCAGCAACTGTTACCCTGCTCCCGTGGCACCAAGTAAGAAAGTTAAAAACGTACCTTCGCCTTGCGGACCCAACAGTCAATGTCGCGTCGTAAATGGGCAAGGTGTCTGCTCTTGTCTACCAGAATTCACGGGTGCTCCTCCTATGTGCCGCCCCGAGTGTACTCTAAATTCCGAGTGCCCTGAAGAACGTGCATGCGTTAACCAGAAATGTGTTAATCCATGCCCTGCTTCGTGTGGAACTTTCGCCACTTGCGTTGTCAGAAACCATAGTCCAATTTGTGCCTGCCGAGACTCATATACCGGAGATCCATTCACTAGATGTTTCCCCATCCCACGTAAGGAATTTCAGAAAATTTCAAAGTAATTTATATTCTTTTTGATATAACAGTAGACTGATTTCTAATTTTATAATTGCCCTTTTAGAAGCCTTACCACCATCCACAGTCGAACCTTCACAACCGTGTTTGCCATCCCCTTGTGGTCCTAATTCGGAGTGCCGTGTTGTTAACGGAGGTCCTTCTTGTCAATGTCTATCAACTTACATTGGAAGTCCACCAAACTGTCGTCCAGAATGTACAGTAAACTCTGACTGTTCACCTAGTCAAGCCTGCATGAGAGAAAAATGCAGGGACCCTTGTCCAGGCTCCTGTGGTTCCAACGCTCAGTGCACGGTGCTCAATCATGTTCCTATATGTTCCTGCTTCAATGGATACACTGGAGATCCCTTCAGCAACTGTTACCCTGCTCCCGTGGCACCAAGTAAGAAAGTTAAAAACGTAACATTCAGTAGAAATTGTAAAAAGTTTGAAATTTATGTGATGCACGTTAATTTTTCTAATAGCGGAACCGTCAGCGGTTGATCCTTGCGCATCATCACCTTGTGGTCCCAATGCACGTTGCGAAAGTGGTATTTGTACATGTCTGGCAGACTATCAGGGTGATCCATATCTTGGATGCCGACCAGAGTGCGTACTGAATACCGATTGTGCCCAGAACCGCGCTTGTTTGCGAAAGAAATGTGTCGATCCTTGCCCTGGTACTTGCGGTCGAAATGCAGAGTGTCTAGTATACAATCATGTGCCCATGTGCAGTTGTCCAAGTGGAATGGTTGGAAATGCGTTCGTTCTGTGTACTGTCGTTCAAGGTACATCTTAGAAAATTCTTCCATTCCCCTAATTTCCTTTGCTGCATGGTACTATAGCAGTGCTCAGAATATTTACCAAATTATCATAATAACAGATACCGTAAAGGGTAACCCATGCTCTCCATCACCTTGTGGACCAAACAGCGTCTGTCGAGAGATCAATGGTCAACCTGTCTGCTCCTGCGTAGCAGGATTCTTAGGAGCACCACCGTCCTGTAGACCGGAGTGTACAGTCAGTTCCGATTGTCCTCTGACACAAGCTTGTAGCAACCAGAAATGTGTCAATCCATGCTCTGGAACATGCGGGTTCAGAGCCACTTGCAACGTCGTCAATCATAATCCCATATGTGGCTGCCCACCTGAGCTTACAGGCGACCCATTTGTCCAATGTGTCCCACGACGTGAGATTTTTTGCTTCAGTATTCCAGTAACTAGCTACTAAACTTCAATTTTAACAAACATAATGGTAATTCATTTTTAGCTCCCGAGCCCGCTGTACCGCAAAATCCATGCGAACCCTCTCCGTGTGGACCCAATGCAGAATGCAGAGTCGTCAATGATTCTCCGTCTTGCACTTGTTTATCTGAATTCATAGGCACCCCACCCAATTGCAGACCCGAGTGTGGCAGCAATAGCGAATGCCCCAGTCAGTTGGCTTGCATCAATCAGAAGTGCAGAGATCCTTGTCCTGGATCCTGCGGGGCAAACGCGGAGTGTCGTGTTGTCAGTCATACCCCTATGTGTGCCTGTTTGAATGACTATACCGGCGACCCCTTCTCTCAATGTACACCTACGCCACGTAAGACTTACGAAATCCTTTTCTTGCTTTGAACATTCCGTTTCTGATCTCTAAATTGCTTCTTCAAAACATTGTAGTTGTTCCCGTCAATCTCTCCCCATGTAGTCCATCACCGTGCGGTTTCAATGCTATATGCAAAGAACAAAATGGTGTCGGATCATGTTCCTGTGCTGCTGATTACATCGGCAACCCTTATGAAGGATGCCGCCCCGAATGTGTCGTTGATACTGACTGTCCATCTACACTGAGCTGTATACGTTCCAAATGTCAAGACCCATGTCCGGGCACCTGTAGTCCAAACGCAGAGTGCAAGGTCATCAATCATCGGCCAGCGTGCTCATGCATTCCTGGTTACAGTGGAAATCCCTTCCAGTACTGCTCGATAGTGCCCGCAATAGGTACGATGTATTTTAATTTTCGTCAATCATCAAGATAATGACCCAAGATTTACGTCTTTTCTAAAGTTGATCAAAGCAGAAATTTATTCGTCTGTTTCATGATGTAAAACATGAATTTAAATCTCTTGCAGAGGATGAGATGAATTATAAGGATCCCTGCAGTCCTTCGCCTTGCGGACCCAACAGTCAGTGTCGCGTAGTAAACGGGCAAAGTGTCTGCTCTTGTCTAGCAGAATTCACTGGCACACCACCCATGTGCCGTCCCGAGTGTACTTTAAATTCAGAATGTCCTCAAGATCGTGCATGCGTTAACCAGAAATGTGTTAATCCATGCCCTGCTTCGTGTGGAACTTTCGCCACTTGCGTTGTCAGAAACCATAGTCCAATTTGTGCCTGCCGAGACTCATATACCGGAGATCCATTCACTAG